CAGGGACTTGGGGCTCCCCACAGACTCCCCTATTTAGAAACAGAATAAAGATTAGGAAGCTTGAGCAGGGCAATCTGGGGCACATCATGCTTTCAAGGGAAGGGAGGGTGGCTGCAGGGATGGGGAATCGGCTTATTCCCATTCAAGGGCATCTTCTCCAGCCGGACAAAAGCCCGGGCCGGGCCGAGCAATGAGCTTGCAAGACCAAGCTCAGTGCCCGGGCCGCCCCGGGCCGCCATGCAGGCTCTCCTCTCAGCGGCTGGGGACTGAGCCGATGCGGGGCCCATGGAGCTGTCTCAGCTGTGCCTCAGTCCCTCCATCACCGTGGCTTCCTCCCATTACGTTCACACACACTGCTCCCGTTTCAAGACTTCCGGCTCTGTCCATGCTGCTCCCTCTGCCCCAGGGGCGGGGGGGGGGGGGGGGGGGACGACGACGACTTGCCCCTCTTATTTAATTAGCAGAGTTTCCATTATCTTTGAAGGTGTAATTCAAATGCCACCTCCTCCACGAAGACTGCCAAAACTGCAAGCCTTCCTCGGTGAAAACCACGGCCCCAGGACTGTGGCTGCTTTCTGCTCTAGTTCACCTTTGTTTGCATTCTGCCTTAGGAGAGTCTGCTACTTAACTATCTGAATGTGCATAGCATGTCATGAACCTGGGGATGTTGGTGCAACTTAAAATGTGTCTTACTGCCCAATCTTTTAAAAAAGATATTTTTTATTGATTTCGGAGAGGAAAGGAGAGGGAGATAGAAACATCATTGATGAGAGAGAATCGTTGGTCGGCTGCCTCCTGCACGCCCCACACTGGGGATCGAGCCTGCAACCTTGGCATGTGCCCCGACCAGGAATCGAACCGTGAGCTCCTGGTTCATAGGTTGATGCTCAACCACTGAGCCACACCGGCTGCTCGATGCGGTGCACACGGGCCTGTCTGCCTGTGCAGCATCTGCTCCCTCCACTCAGGTAGCAGGGCGCCCTCTCCCATGTTTGGCCTATGTGGTTGAGATGCTGCTGACCTGACCTCCCTATCAGGGCCGGGCATGTGTCTCAGATCTGACCAATCAGAGCAGAGATTAGAACAGGGACAGGCTTATTGCCGGAGCCAATGCTAGGACCAGTGAGCATCACCCAGTGACATTCGCTGGCCCTCCTGGGAATGAGGGGCTTCTTTCCGATGTGGCTGCTGGTCCAGTGTGCCACCATGTGGGGAGGGGCTGCCATGGAATAATGCCTCTGGGAGGCAGGGAGAACCTAGCCTGGAGGGCTGGGGACACGGCTTCCCCAGCAAGGCTGGCCCGGATGGGACAGGAGGCCATCCGCAAGACGGTGCTGGACAGGCACACCCAGCCCGGGTCCCGGCCGAACAGGGCTGGCATGGCCCTGGCCCAGGAGGCAAGGACACGGGAGAGCCCCCTGAACAGTGTGTGGCTGTGCCGTCAGGGTGGAGACCCAGCCCCTGGCAGAAGGTTCTGGGAGGAAAAGCCTGGCCGGCAACAGGCTGGAGGCCAGCGCCCAGGGAAGCCACTGAGGGCACTGGGAGAGCAAACGACGTCGTCAGGCATGGGACACCACTTTGCAGTTGGGAAAATTCCCATCCCGCTGGGCTTCAGTGCCACCTGTAGAATGGGTTAGTAATCTCTATTTCAGTGTGAGTGTCAGCACATTAATACAGCTCTCCTGGTGGGTGATGATTGTTACACTGTGGCAGGTTCTGGGCAGGGCCTGGCCCTAGCAGGAGTGCAGGGGTGAGGCCGCAGGGGATGGGAGTGCTTGGAAACGGAGGCAGCAGCATGGCTCCTGGCCGCTGGGCTGCGGTGCTGGGCTCTGCTAGGAAAGTGGCAAATACATCTTCGTCCTCTCTGTAGGCCCGGAGCAAAGTGCAGCGCTTGGCACAGAGCAGGACCAGAACAAATGTTTAAAAATGGAGACTGGACTTGCAGCGGACATCTGCTAAGGTTTTTGAGACCATCTCAGAACCATCTAGTGGAGACAGACAAAATCGTGTCACAGCATGGAAAGGTTTGAAGTCAAGAGATGCGGATGGAGCTTTGGGTCCGCCACTGTGTGTTCTGTATGACCTGAGCAAACCTGTTAATTTCTATAAAAGAGGGCTGTTCATATGTTGTCCGCCCGCCCCATGCGGTGAGGTCCAGCTCAGAAAGGCCTGGCGGACGGCAAGCCCCAGAGCGAGCTGCAGCACCATCCGCGGGGGCCCAGCTGGACGGGGAACCAGATGCGATTGTTGGCAGGGCAGCCGGGGGCCTGGCTCAGGAACGTGCTGCCAAGTGCTTGGCGGGAAGGGCAGGGCAAGGGGAGACGGGATTAAGAGAGGACACACCAGGAAGAAGGAGACAAAGGAAGGCTTGAGAGCGAAGGCTGTGAAAACAAGCCCCAGGGTCCCTGGCACTCGAGGTGTTTGCAAGGTTGACTTCCCTTAGTCCTCGCAATAACCCCGGGAGAGCACTGCTGTCATTGCCCCTTCTGCAGAGGAGGAGACTGAGGCATGGGGGGTCACAAGGGACTTTCAGTGTAAGGTCTGAAAGCAATGCCGAGGCTTAACGTGACTTAAATTCATGTGAGTGCGGACACCACAGCTCGTGTCGGGTCAGCAAGGTGTTAATTGGGCCGTGTGACTGCGAGTACACAAAGCAGGAGGTGGCAGTGACCTAGAGAGAGAAGAGACTATACTTGAAGGCATTTCTGAATCGTAACGTGCGGAGTAGATGTGGGACGGGGGTGGTGTTTACTCAGTCTCTCCTGGTCTCTAGGTAATGCTCCCCGCACAGTGCGGTGAACAATTGGGGTCAAGGAGAACCAGCTCTCCTCCCCGGCCTGGGCCTGGAGGCTGGACTCTCTCCCAGAAGGTCTCTAGCGACTGCACAGGCTCCCGGGCCAGCTTCGCCTCCCAGCTCTCCTGCTTGCTTCCCCGGGATCAGGTGGCAGCAATGGCTGGGGGCTTCCTGGGTCAAGTTCAGCCCAGGCTTAGGGAACCCTGGGGCTGTGGGGTAGATGGCCGAACCCACACATCCGGGATCTCAAAGTTCCTGTCACCTGATCACAGTTTGCCAACCACGAACCTAATAAACATGCTCAGAGTCGAAGCCTCCCGGATCTCTGCTCTCAGACCGACAGGGGTGAATGAGAAGGCCACTGTCTGGTAAGAAGGCGGGCAGGCCACGCCTTTCTGCTGTGTCTCAAGAGCCCCAAGAACCGCGCGCTCTCAGCAGCGGCCCTTCCAAGGGCGATGGTGACGGTGGTGATTGATGTGGGGCCGACACTCCTGATGCTCAGCGAACTCTCTTCGCTCTCGCAAGCTGCTACAATAGATCCCACTTAGTTAAGGAAGAGAACCCTAGAGACCCTGACTCGGCGTGGCTCCTCTCCTGTGGTCCCATCACTCAGACCCAGCGATACCAGTCTGCGCCTCCTCCAGGCACTCCCTCCAGAAGGAGGTGAGGGAGAAAGACTCCCATCACCATCTCTCCCCTGAGTCCCATCGCTTCCCTGCCTCCAGCACCAACGGGCAGAGGGATAAGGGACTATAGCACCTCCCTCTGTCCCTCTCTCAAGTCCTGGGCCACTCCCAGTCCCGATGGCCCACGTGCCACATGGCGTTTGCTGACCAGGCCCAGGAGTAGCGGGGTCCCGGAGGCGCACCCCCTGGTTTAGCAGGGAGGCAGGCTCCTGAGGTTCTGAGCATGAACTGCAAATGCATCAGCACCTGGGAGATGGGACCTGCAGTTCTTCATGGCTGGCATCCTACATCAGCTCACAAGAGAGAACACTTACAGATTGCACAGAGCTGGGACAGACCTCTGTACTAACTGTTTCCCCTAAGAGAAAGTGCCTTCCTTGTTCTCTAATTCAAAAGAATGACATCCTGGCCGGATGTGGCTCAGGGGTTGAGCACTGACCTATAAACCAGGAGGTCATGGTTCGATTCCTGGTCAGGGCACATGCCCAGGGTGCAGGCTCAATCCCCAATGTGGGCTACGCAGGAGGCAGCCAATCAACGATTCTCTCTCATCATTGATGTTTCTCTCTCTCTCCCTCTCCCTTCCTCTCTGAAATCAATACAAATATATATATAAAGGAATTTACTGAGCGCCAACTACTCGGTCAACAGAGACCTTGCCCTTGAGGAGCTAGCCAAGCATGACAAACTCGTGGCCAAACAAGGCATGCAGCCCACCAGCTGCCAGTTTGACATGCTTGAGCTAGACAGGCTGGAGGCAAGCATGTGAACATGCTAAAACCCCTATACGACCTGGGATCGGGGTTAGAGAATGACCTGCACACACAACCTTTGTTCATGAAGAACAAGAATTCTAGAGGCCTGGGACAGTGCAAGCCTACCTCAGGAATATTCACACCTGAAGACTCAACTGCCTGCATCCTCAGGGTTATGAATAGACCCTGACATGGAGGCAGGAGTAAGCCTCGACCACTTTGAGCCAGAGACGGGAGACCCATCTAGGGGGAGGGACAGGAGAGGCTGGAAAGATCCTGAAACAAAGCAAAGGAGTCTGGACTTGAGTCTTCTGCCGACAGGATGTGCTGAGGAAAGGGACCGCTCCTGCAACAGCGTCTGGGACGTGCTGAGTGGGAAGGAGTGCAGGAGGAGAATGCACACGTGGGGACTCAAAACTGACAAAGGTCTTTGGGGAACAAGTGATCCAGGATCACGGCATCATGAACACAGGTAGTCTGATCACCTCGTTCTCCCTTCCTATGCCTCCTCTCATTCGTCTATAAAATAAGAATAACGGTATGCGCCTCCCACAGATCTGAGAATTAAATAACACGGGGAGCGCTGGGAGCAATGCCTGGCGCATGGCATGTGTCATTTTCATTTATTTCTTTCGGGTGGGGAAGGAGTGGCAAACAACCCAGCCTGTTCAGATCAAGTAGAAAGCAGACTCAGTGGTTCTTATGTATCACATTTCACTTTGCCCGTGGAACAAAGATGTAAATAATTTCAACCAGACATGCATATACTTTAAAATACCGAGTTTATTTAAAATATCAGCACAGTAAGACTGCCACACAAATAACTTTAAGAGATCAATGATGATGACAGACGCGTCTATCAATTCAAGTGTACACATTAACTCCTCCAATTAAATCCTTTAATTTCCCTTGAAGCCTTTTTAATTCTGAGGTTATATAAGACTAATCAAGAAAACATTAACATTAAATAAAAATCAATTTTGTACAAATAAGTGGGATCAAGCAGCTTAAATTATCACCTGGAATACTTGCACTTCAGAGAAAAGCCCCAGGTGACAACACTCTATACGTTACAGAAAGATTCACATTATTCCAAGGGGAACATCTACATCACTCACGCTTCACATTTTTTTTTTTTTTCCAGAAGCCTCAGGCAAAAAACCTAGGGAACCTTTTCCCAGGCAGTGACTTCTTTTCATACACATTCTTTTTCTGAATTCAGAACTTCTGAAAACACAGAAGCTTTACCCTTGGTAAAATATGACTTACGAGACGTTCGAGGACCAAGCTGTTATGCTTCTTAAGCTTCTTCCCTTCTCTGGAGACCGAGACCCAGACCCAGAGGTCTTCACGTCCTTCACTTCGGTTCTCTCCTCCCACCAGGTCTCTCTGGTTTGGAGGCATGTCTGCCTCCCCAGCGATGGAAGTGAGTTCTGCACCTCTGACCGGGCACTCGGATGTACACCGATTTCCTCTGAATTCAGAGAAAGCTGTGTGTGTCAGAATATGTCAACTGGTGACAAGACTCAACATGTGAGAAGCAGCTAGGAACTGCACATTGAGAAATGTGTTGGCTGCTGTGACTGACAACTGGTGGCTCCTGTTCTCACTGAGCTGCACAGGGCAGAGGTCTGGCAGTGAACCTGACCCGGCTCGCCTAGAGTGTGTGACCCGATGGGGACAGGTGCCTTGTTGGTTGGGAAATTGCTTGGCATGAAAACGTGAGCCAGGTGAGGGGACCGAACGGTAATTGCACTTTTGTGGGCATTGATCCACCTGTGGGATCTAAAGCAACTTGAATCCCTGTATGAAATATACCGATCTGTTACTTTTCAAAACATTCTCATCACCAACCTGAGCCAGTGGGGGAATACAGCAACAGGAAAATTATACATTCAGAAAATATATTGTCATAATCAATTCCCGATTCCTGGGTACTAAACAATGTTAACACATTCCACCATGAACTACCAGAACCATTGCCATGGCGATGACCTCACTGGCGCGTCCCTCCTCTCACTGGGCAGCGCCTGGCCTGGATGGACAGCCTGGAGAAAGACCGGCCGTGGCCTAAGCGAAGGGGGTGCCGCCGCTCCCGCGGAGCCTTCAGGTGGCAGCCTCTAGGAATTCCGAGGTGAACACAGCTTCTGCGTAACCTTCACACAAGTCCCCAAGTTCAGCAGTCACGGACCCCAGCGCCTCGTCCACCAACTCCTCTGAAAAGCTGAAGACAAACAACGCAGCTGAAGGCGTGCAGCCAAAGAGGGGAGCCTTTCTTCACTCGGCTGGGGAGCTCACCGAGTCAATTCTAAGATTTAACCGGAAACGCAGAAGGCCAAGGGCAGCCAAGATACTTCTGAAGGAGAAAAACAAGGGAGGCCTTGCTCTCCGAGATGTTAAGATGATGGCACTTAGAGCTGGAGGGAGGGGCCTGAATCACACCGGAGGGACCTCACCCTGAGATGGGTGAGGCCAGCAGTGACCAGAAATTAAAACCAGCTGCAACTCAGCCAACCCAGATCACAGAGATGGGGGCCTGCCTTCTCTATGGGACGGGACAGGGCAGGACACTCTATGTGTGTTCTCTTTCTCCTTACACACTCACACACGCACACAACTTTTCTCTGTTGCAGAGTAAGTTGCAGACTTGACATCCCTTAAGTGCTTCATTTTTATTTCCTGAATAACCATAATTCTCTTAAATAACCATAATTATAAAAATCACATTAACACCATTATCTAATCTTATCTACAAACCTTTCCAAAGCCTGCCAACTGTCCAAATAACATCCTTTAGGGGACCCTCCCGCCCTCCTCCGGCCCCAGCCCAGGATCCCACACTGCATTTAGCGGTCATGTCTCTTCACTCTCCTTTAACCTAGATCTGCTCTTTGGCCTTTGTCCTCCAGGACTTTGCTTTCTACAGCGTGAAGGCCTTTTTTTGTAAAACGTCCCTCAATCTGAGTTTGTCTGATGCTTCCTCATGGGGAGACTCTGGTGACACATTTTTGGAACGGAAGCCACAGCAGGGGTCATGTTCCCCGAGTGCTCCTCTCACCCTCTCACTGCTGAGTGACCTGTTACCCCTTGGTGACAGTGATGTCTGCCAGGTTTCTCCCCGTACAATCCTGTTTCCCCTTGTAATTAATATGTGTATTGGGGGAGATGCTGTGTGATTATGTAAATATCTTGCTTCTCATCCAACTTATCTGAATCAATTATTACAGGGCTGCCAACACTGAATTTCTAATTTCATCATTCCTTCTCCATTTAGTAGTTGGCATTCTACTGTAATAAAAGCTTTCCTTCTCCTTTATATATGTATGTATTCACTTACTCACGCATTCATTCACTCACTCATTCATATAGGCTTGTCTGATTCTTATTCAGTAGTTTGTAACTCATTACCATTATTATTTAATAGAGGCCCGGTGCACAAAATTTGTGCACGGGGTGTGTGTGTGTCCCTCAACCCAGCCTGCACCCTCTCCCAATCTGGGATCCCTCTCACAATCCAGGACTGCTGGCTCCCAAATGCTTGCCTGCCTGCCTTCCTGATAGCTCCTAACCACTTCTGCCTGCCAGCCTGATCACCCCCTAACCACTCCCCTGCCAGCCTGATTGATGCCTAACTGCTCCCCTGCCAGCCTGGTCACTCCTAACTGCCCTTCCCTGAAGGCCTGGTCCCCCCCAACTGCCCTCTCCTGCTGACCTGGTCACTCCTAACTGCTCTCCCCTGCCAGCCTCATCATCCCTAACTGCTCTCCCCTGGTGGTCTGCCCCACCCCCCAACTGCCTTCCCCATGCAGGCCTGGTTCCCCCCAAACTGCCCTCCCCTGCAGACCTGGTCTCTCTCAACTGCCTTCCCCTGCAGGCCTGGTCCCCTCCAACTGCTCTCCCCTGCAGGCCGGAGTCCCCCCAAAATGCCCTTCCCTGCAAGCCTGGTCACCCCCAACTTCCTTCCTCTGCCAGCCTGGTCACCCCTAACTACCCTCCCCTGCAGGCTTGATCACCCCAACTGCCCTCTCTTGCAGGCCTGGTGCCTCCCAACTGCCCTCCCCTACTGGCGTGATCACCCCCAACTGCCTTCCCTTGCAGGCCTGGTCCCTCCCAACTGTCCTCCCCGACTGGCCATCTTGTGTCCATGTGGGGTAGCTGTCTTTGACCACATGGGGGCAGCCATCTTGTGTGTTGAAACAACAGTCACTTTGCATATTACTCTTTTATTAGACAGGATTTTGACACTCAGAATATCCCAGACTGGCCAGTTGGAGCCCCTTTAATCTGGCTCCTGGGTACTCCTGACAGGAGCAGCATTCTCTGCTCTCAACACTCCCTCTGGCACGTGATGTTCCAGGCTCCTCCTACATTTCCCAGCCCCAGGCCCAGAATCAGCCATTCCTCTGAGAAGCCCTGGTACCTTCTCATGGGAAATAGTATTTAGAAACAAAGATCTGGTATAAGTGTGCTCACTGCTACTGGTGCCATTGCCAGACCGACTCAGACAGACACACACACACATACTCCGTGATAGTCTCTATCTATCAAAAATAGCACCTTATATTTGAAGTTCTACTACTAAAACACTAAATATTTTCTAGTTGTCTATTTGTTCTCTATTCTTCCTTGCCCTCCTTCAGATATTTCCATTTCTCATTGCATTCTTTTCTCGCTATGAACTTGTATTATTCTCTTAATGGTCACCCTAGATTACAATGAGAATCCCTGACTTAAAAGTCTAACATTAATTGCTATGCTTGCCATTTTCCCAGAAAGTAGAAGATACCTCACAACACCATCTCTCATCTCCCTGGCTTATGTGCTATTGTGACTGTGTGTTCTAAATGTATGCAAACACCCATAAGACAGCAGCTTATTGTTTTATACAGTCAATATTCATTTATCTACACACTGACCTTTTTAGCAATTCACACCTTCCTGTATTTTTGACCTTTCATCTGTGACTATTTTGCTCCGACTAAAAAAATATCCTTGTAATGTTTCCTACCGTGAAGGTCTACCACAATACACTTTTTCAACTGTGTTGGAGCCTCTCTTACCTTACTTCTTGAAATATACTTCACTGGGCTTAGAACTCCGGGTCGGGAGTTCTCCTGCTTTAAAAATTTAAAAGATATATTAGATCTCCCAGCTTCCATGGTCTTTCTGTCTTTCTTCCTCCAGCCTTCCCTCCAAGATCCAGCACTCTGTCTCTTTATCTTTGACTTTTCAACATTACTACGATGTGCCTATGTAAGATGTACCTCTTTGTTTAGCTTGGGCCTTTTAGAGCTTCCTCTATGTATGGCCTGATGTCCTTGTGATCCTGTCTGTGTCTGATGGGTCTACCATTCGGAGCTGCTGTAGGACAGTTCTTGTTAGTGCCATCTCTCTCTGCTACCTGGTTATTCACCACCATATACCAGGCACTGTATATTGTTTGAAAAGTCTAACAATAATTTAAGTCCTAAGATGCTGTCCTATACATTCAGAGAAAATGTGTGTTAGCTGCTGCCTGGTGCCTGGGGGGCAGTAACCTGGAACCACTTTGGTATAAGCTGAGGAACAAAGATCATCTGGAGCCGCGCAGAGTCCTGAGAGGCTCCAGGCACCCAGGTCACCCTCACTTCAGGTGAGGTGAGTACTCCCCCGCCATGGCGAGGCCCAAGGCCCACCTCTGTCCTCTGACCTGGGAACGCCACCCACGTGCCCTGTCCCCTAGGACTGACTGTGCAGCGCCAGACAGGGCTAACCTCCGGTCTGCTTCTCCACGCGGCTGCCCCAGTTATGCTGCATCACCTGGTTACCTTCTGGTGCCTTCCAGCACGTCCGCTTTATTTTTACTCCAACGTTTCTATTAGGAGCTATCCTCAGGGGGAGACGTGGTCCCAATTACCATGTGCGTCATCAAGTGGTCACCTTGTTTTTGTATTTGTTTTGCTTTCCATATTCCTATCGTGAATTCTTCTATATTATGAAATCATCATATTAAGAAACACCAAGCTAATCCGAATCCATTCAAACAAATTAAGTATCTGTTGTCTTCTTCTCCTTCTTCTTCTTTTCTTTTTTAAAATATATTTATTGATTTCAGAGAGGAAGGGAGGTGGAAAGACAGAAACATCAACAATGAGAAAGATAGTCTGCTTTCTGCACGCCCCACACTGGGGATTGAGCCTGCAACCTGGGCATGTGCTTTGACAGGGAATCGAACCTAATCTGGTTCATAGGTCGATGCTCAACCACTAAGCCACACCAGCCGGGTTGTTTTCTTCTTCCTTTTAACCTCCCTCACCCTGCTGCCCACTCTGGGAACCACTCCTCCTGGTGCTCTGTCATCCTATTCCAACCTGGATTGGTTGCTTTCTATGCTTACTGAGAAGTTCTCATATAAATAGCTTTGGCCATTTTTCTGGAAGTTCCCTGTTGTAGTCTAAGTTTCCTAAATCCTGCCTTCCTCTTTTTCAATGTGCACCCTGTGCTGGTGGTATGCACCCTCCAGTAACTTAGTGAAAAAGTGCATGGGAACTAGATTTTTTGATACCGTGTACACCTGACATGTTTTTATTTTATCCTTATATTTAGTTGACAATTTAGCTGAGCACAGATTTGAGGCTGAATTTGGGGAGCATGCTCTAACACCTGCTGGCAGTGTTGCTCTTGAAAACAAGGTCCCAGTCTCAGTTCTGATTGTTTGAACAGGCTTAACTCTCAGGAACCTTTTATCACAATGTCCGCACACTGGGATGTTCAAATTTCCTTTACAAAATGATGTGCCATGGTGTGTTCTGTCCTATTCGTTTATTCATATATGTATTCACTCACTCTCTAATTTGCAGTGGACTAATGATGAACTCTTCCAACCTAGAGACTAACAGTCTTCTGGGAAGTTTTCTTATGGTATTTCTCTGACTTTTCCCATTCCTATTCCTCCATTTCCCCCGCTCTCACATTCTGGAAATCTAACTACACAGATGTTGGACACTACACAGTAACTGAAAATCTGCATGCCTCCATCCCATTCATATCTAACAGCCCAATTCTCAAGGTGATGGAATCTGGAGGTGGAACCTTTGGAAGGTAAATAGGTCATGAGGGTGGAGCCCTCATGAACGGGATTAGTGCCCTTATAAAGGAGGCATGAGAAAGAGGACCTCTCTCTCTTGGCCAAGTGAGAATACAGCAAGAGAAGGGCTGTCTGCAAAACAGGAAGCAGGCCCTTGGACTTCCCAGCCTCCAGAACTATAAAGTATTAATTTTTGTTTAAGCCACTCAGCCTATGGCATTTGTTACGGCAACCAGAGCTAAGACATTGACAGTATAACCCTCTAACTTTTAAAATCTTTTCTTCCCTATTATCCATCCTTGGTGTGTTTTTTTCAATTCTACTTCCTGAGAGATCTTTTTCTTTAAATCCCTCTAGTGAATTTATTTCAGTCATATTTTTTATTTCTAAAAAAGTTTGTTTTATTCTTTGAAAGTTTATCCTATCTAATAAAGAGGGAATATGCAAATTGACTGCCACACCTTAACAAGATGACTGCACCCACAGCAGAGGCCGAGTTCCTGTAACGAGCCTTAACAAGCAATGAGCAGGGACCTGAGGCTGTGAGGCGCTGGGCTGGGGCAGGAGACCTGAAGTTGCGCCCCCTGCTTGGTGGGGGCTTGACAGGGGGCCTCATGCCATGCCCCCCACCTATGGGGCTTGACGGGGGGCCTCACAGCATGCCCCCTGCCCTGGCCTAGGGGACCTCAGGCTGTGCCGCCTGCCTGTCTGGGCTTGATGGGACCTCAGGCTGCATCTTCTGGCCCAGGCCAGGCGACCTGAGGCCTCGACCCCACCCAGCAGGGCTTGACCTGGATGGGGCAGGCCGGGTCTGGATCTAGCCCAATGAGGGTGGGGCTGGCCGGGTCCAGGTCTTGTGCGATTTTGAGGCACATGTGGGTGGGCGGGGACTTGACTTTGGTTCCCATGGTGTAACCCAGACTCTGACAGGAGGGAGATTTTCATACACATTTTACTACTTCTCTTTCATCTTATAGAGAAAGGGCAAATAGCAATATTAAAATATTTCCTCTAATTAATTCCCTTTTAATGTGCACGGACTTCATGCACTGGGCCACTAGCTTTTAATAACACCCTGTTCTCCTCTGGCAGGTGCGGCTCAGCTGGCTGAGCAGCGGCCCGTGCATCAAAGTCGCCGATTCCAGTACCAGCCAGGCACAGGCCCGGGTCCCAGGTCTGTCCCAGGTCAAAGTGTGTGCAGGAGCAGCCAGTCAATGTCTGTATCTCTCTCTCTTTCTCTCTCTCAAATCAATAGAAACATATTAAGAAAATACTGTTCTTGTTTCATGATGTAATAGCTCTACTTACTTGGCTTCCTCAGAGCTTTTTATGTGTAAGGGGCTGTGCATTTATCAATGGCTGCTATCTTCAAGAATGAGCATTTGAACCAAGCCTCCCATTTCCTGACTTAACTGCCCCTATGCCTTACAAGCATCCCCTGCTTCCCACTCCTGTGTTTCACCAGGTGTGTCTGCATGAATCAGCTTGGTTCTTGGCTTCCCCGTCACCAGGCACTTGGCTCTCCCTGATCTGCTAAGTCATTTGCTATTTGTCTATCTGCTTATGGCTTCCAAGTTTTTATTGCTATTTCTCGTTTGTTCTCATTTAAAGGTTCATGCCTTTTGTTTATTCTTTTAGTGACATACAGTTGGGTGGAGATACATGGGATAAAGATGAATTCATATGTTCAGTCTGTCTTTTTTACCCTGAAGTCTCCTGATTTGTTTTTTAAACCAGGGATCCTTAAGAGTTTGCTTTCATCAAAAGCATCACATCACCTAAGCCTTTCCTTTTACAGCCACTCTTATTTACATCCAGTTTATATCATCTCCCTTTGATCACTCAAGCAGTGCTTTTTCTTCAGTGTAAGGAGAAATGGAGATATTACAGGGGGGAAAAAAATCTAAGATTTCCCTCACATAAGAAGCTATTAAGTGAAGTCAACTGTCTTAGGATAATCTTTCAAGATCTCCCACTTAGGAACACTCAAATCAGAAACAAAGAGATTGAAACGGAGTTAGAAAATTCAGATGCATTGTCCTGTAAGGGCCAAATATTGCAGCAGAGAACATTTGTAAAGATCCAGGCATATTTTAATAGCTCTGGCCTCTACATGCTAACCTGTTATTCCTTACTAGAGACCTGGTGCACAAAAAATTTATGCACTGGAAGGGGTCCCTCAGCCCGACCTGCCCCCTCTCACAGTCCGGAATCCTTCAGGGGATGTCCTACTGATGGCTTAGGCTCCCCCCTGGGGAGCAGGCCTAAGCTGCAGTATAGCTTCCCTCTGTGTGAGGCAACCGGGCTGCTCAGGGTAAGGCTCTGCCTCCATTACTCTATTGCTGCTGCTGCCTCTGACCTCCCTCTGTGGGAGGCGACCAGGCCAATGAGGGAAAGGCACCCCCCCATCACCCTGCTGCTGCTGCCACTGACGGCCACTGTGGCTGTGAGGCCTGAGCCCCAGGGCCTCACAGCTGCCTAAACCCACAGCTGCCTGAGCCCATGGCTGTCTGAGCCTTGGGCCTCACAGCCGCTGTGGCTTTGTCCAGATGGACGTCCACCCTAATTAGCATATTACTCTTTTATTACTATAGATAGTCTGAGAGCTTTCCCTAGAGCAACAAAACAACTATGAACGAAGCGTTCATTTATCAGGTGGTAAGAACGTACATGGAAGTCTATCTCCCGTGGCTTGTTTTTGGATTTCCCAATATACCAATTAGCCTCACCATTCAAACAGGCGCTGGGAAAATAAGAGAGCATCTGTAGGACTGTGTACACACAGAAGCAAGTGAGGTTTGCCCACTCTCCTCCCCCACAAAATACACGGCATCTCTACCAGAACTGAATGCTCAGGTACCTTGAAGGGCGCTGTCTATTAAAGAGAAGCTTTCGGACTTCAGTTAAAACTGAGGGACTGAACATAAGTGATTATCTCTGATCCCGCTCAGAACTCCACTAAAATAAAAGGACTTAAGTAAACACATCAATCTACAAGGAGAAAAAGAAACAACAGTAGATGAGGACTGTCCAAGATTCCCAGAAAGGAAATGCACATGGAGGAATCCTAACTGGCTCGGCAGAACAGGGGGAGTAGAAGAAGCTGAAACCCAGGAGTCTGTCCAGGGACATGCCAAGGGAAGCAAGCTGGTTGTCTCACAAAACAAAGACTCCGGAATCAGAAATCAGGAATCGGGAGTAAGAGCATGCAGGTGGAGGCAGGTCTGGGTGGAAAATGAGGGCATGGGCTGACATTCTGCAGAATGAACAGCGAGGTGTCCACCCCTGCTCCAGGCAGCTAAGTGACAATCGCTCCTTCGCCCCCACAAATGAAGGCGTAGATTCTTTGGGAAAAATAAACCCATAATTTTAAACTCAGCCAAATCATCAATCAAGTATGTCTCCATAGAATAAAGACACTTTCAAACTGGCAAATCTTAAGAATGTTCCTCCAGTAGACAAACAGGATATGCTCCATCAAAGTAAGAGAGTGAACCTGGAAAGAGGGCGATGAGGGCACTGGAAATAAGGCCTCTGACCTGGGAGGGAGGTGACCGAACACGCTGGGCCATGAAGAAGGGAGTCCCAGAGCAGGAGCCACAGTGCCACTTAGAGGGCAGTCAGCCAGGCTGGGGGAGGAAGGGGAGGGTCTCAGGAGAGAGAGTGGGGTAGAGGCGAGAAATTGAAATCAACTGCTACATCTGACCACTGAGAAAAAGACACTGAGATGTTGGCTAGTGGGTGGGAAAGTTCATAAACACCTAAAAGAATAAGCAAATAAAAAAGGGGCAACTGTTAACTCCTGAAATACATTTCAAACTTGGTCAAGAAAGAAATCATAGTATACTGCTTGACTCGATGATGAAAAAATATTTGCATGTTTATAATAAAGTGATATTCAAGAGGAAATCAAACTTGGGTCCAATTTAAAAAGAATAGATTTCAATGAACTATTTACATGAAAAAAAACCTTATCCATTCTTCAAAAATTTTAGCAGCAGGAAGACTATGTTTCAGGACTCCACGAAACGACCTCGGAAGGAGAAGGGTTAGAGAGCACGTTGCAAAGCCCAAAGGCCTGCTGCCATGAGCACCTCTGTCCGACCCTGAAGACCTCGCGACCACACTGCTTCTGACCCAGCCTCTGTTCTCTGGTGGAAGAGCCTCCCGCTCTGCCTCAGGAGGGGAGGTTCAGCGCCCTCCCTTGGCGACATCACCCAGGCTGCTCCACAATCTCTTCGATCCGGGAAAGGACGTTCACAGAGAAACCTGGCCACTAGCCCAAAAGCAACTGCAACTCCAAGGCCCAAAGCACAGCGTGAGACCGTGGACATTTCTTTCCCCGCCACTCTCTCAGATAACATTTGGCCCGTGGCACGGAACACTTACTGACCTTTCAGCAATGAGCCACGGATTGAAGGAGCCCACGGCCTCATGGGAGACCATCCGGAGGTACTGGTCGTAGCGGCTGCAGTAGTCTCCGATGCTGCGTCGCATCCCGGGGGGGACCAGGAGGGCAGTCCGATCCTTTCTCTGCTCAGAATCTTCCGAAGGAAAGAGGAGGGGAGCCTCTCTTTCCTCCGATTTCTCCTCTGGTCCCCCACTGTCATCCAGGGAACTGAGAACCAATAAAAACGATGACAACGTTCAAAATCACCTGCAAGCAAGGGCAAACTGCTCACCCACCCCGGTGGATTGCCAGAAAGGCTTCCTCTCATTTCTCTTTCTCACAATGAACAAAACTCAGCGTTATCACCACTCACCATCTACCGGTACCCTCCGCCACTGGACTAACCCTCCACCAGGGAGGAGTTCCTGTCCTGTAGAAATCAGAACTCCTACATCAAATCTGGCAGGAATTTGCAGTATAACCACCGCACCAACGTGATGCTTTCAACAGAACAATCCAGGCTCCTTAACACGCAACATGTTTCTCCTTTTTAAAAAATATATTTTAATTTCTTTTTTAATCCTCACTCAAAGATATTTTTCAATTGATTTTTAGAGAGAGTGGAAGAGAGAGTGGGAAAGAGAGCGCGATACATCTATGTAAGAGAAATACATTGATTGGTTGCCTCTTGCATTCACCGACCAGGGCCCAGGCCAGGGAGGAGCCTGCAACTGAGGTACATGCCCTTGACCGGAATTGAATCCGGGACCCTTCAGTCCCCAGGCCAACACTCAATCCACTGAGCCCATCGGCTAGAGCAAGATGCAACGGTTTCTATGCCCATCTTCTAAACACACTACTTTACTGAGCCATCTTGGAGTTTGGCAAGATCTTGCTCAAAAAGAATTTCTGTGTCTTGTGGGAACGGAAGGAATATGAAACTCACCAACACTGAAGGCAACCGACTACAATGAGATCAGGCTCGTTAGCGCTTACTTGTCATTCCAGGGCCTTTCCAACACGATGTGCACGTCTGGGTCCTTGCTGGCTACTGTCTTTGTGATCCTGATTGGGTGAGGAGAAAGGGGTCCTTCACCTACTGCTGCGCGTTTTTGGTCTAGAAAAGGAGAGGAATCAAATGACTTCTTATAAAGGAGAGTCAGGGTACATACCAGGCTGTCTCCATGGCCAACCGCCCGTGAGGAAGTCACAGGCACCCCCACCCCCTCAAGCACAATGGCTTCGCAGGCGGTGCAATGAAAAAAGAGGAAAGGTGAATTTAGAAGTTACTGAGACACCAGCCAGGCAGGAGTCACTGTTGAACAGTGAGCTGTCTGAAGCCTCTGCTAGCTCTGAAGGCAGAAGGAAGTCTGTGCCAAGCCCCAGGGTTGCGGGTTCCGGAACCGAGCCGCTCATCCAGGGTCTTCAGCAGTTGGGTTTATTTTTTAACCTTTCAATGGTTTGATTAGGGCAAAGGAAAAAAACCCACTTACACCTGAGCACTTAATTAGCTGACTTAATTTGTGGCATTGCCGGAAAATCAGCATAACGATATCGAAACATTAACTTATTAACTAGACCCTGCAGGCTTGACAGCTCTTTGGAATTCTGGATTATTTATAATTTCAAATGTATTTCAAATGTAAGATTTGTCCTTCTCTTAGGTAAGGAGAATCTCTAAGTCAAAGAACTTTCTCTAACTCATTTATATGCTTGTGATCTCTCACTGTCAGAAATACTGCAAAAGTCAGTTTTTGTAAAAATAATGCTGAGTACAACCAAATTTCAATTGTTCACAGAGGAGAGGACATACGCTTAGACCCTGCACAATTCAAGAGTCCCTTTAAATGTGTGATGCGACTGAACATAGCATCTGAACATCGGGAAGCAGGGCTCTTTCTATGGGTCCATGATTCTGGAATAAAGTGTCTGAAACTCGTTTTAGCGCTTAGTATCTGTCCTAAGGAGCTCCTCTTCACTGTATCCCTCAACTTTATGCAGAGTCAGACAGTGACTATTCATTCAAATTGCCCTGGGAAAAGGACAACATGGAGTCCTAGGTAAGACTGCCTTTTGCACGATGCAACCCAACTTTGGGGCCAAAGGCCACCCCACCTGTGAGACAAACTGCTTCCCTCGGCTTCCACACAAAACGGTGCTGGAGTGCCCGCCCACTCACTGAGCGGGGCCTCCCGGCCAGGCCTGTGCCGGGTGCAGTGGAAGCACAACTCAATCTGACCAGCTGGCCGGCCTCGGAGAACTTGTGGTCGAACTGGGAGAGAGGAGACCTCTCAGCAAACAGCTCTACGATGCAGGGCAGGTCGGAGCCCATGGAGCTCACAGGCCTGTGAGGGAGGGAGCTAGATTCCAGTCTGGGCACTGCCAGCTTGGTCCCCAAAGGGTCATGTGAGTCGGGCCTCAAGGGTGGCGAGAATGAAGATGGGAGCGGGATTAGGGTTGGGGTGAAGAGAGAACCAACAGGAGCAAAGAATAGAGCACCTGAAAACGGCAGAAAACATAAAAGGAACAAATAGGTGTTGTGCTTTGATGGGTCATCCTTCTGTCAAAATTTGACATGGAGAACACCACTTTTTCTAAAATGACACCCACCCCAAACCCGTATTTTAAAAATATTATATGTGAAGCCCTGGTCTGGTGGCTCGGTTGGTTGGAGCGCTGTCCCGTACACCAAAAGTCTGCGGGTTTGATTCCCGGTTAAGGCACATACCCAGTCAGGGCACCTATGGAGGCAACAGACTGATGTTTCTCACATCAATGTTTCTCTCTCTCTCCCTTCTTCTCTCTCTCAAATCAACAAAAACATATCCTCGGGTGAGGATTTAAAAAAACTATATGTGACTGTAGGCTACTGCTGTAAACCATCGAGACCCACAGTTTCCTTTACAGCCCTTAGTAATCATCCTACTTAAATTCCTTCAGGGGTAATGTTTAACCAGCTTTTACTCACCTCTTTTCATTGAGGAAGGTAGTAAATGATAAGCCTGCATCAAACAGAAGTAACACTTCCCGGCTAACACTGTGATAGTAGCCTAGCAACTGCAGCCAAAATTCGTCTGAATGAATTTTTACAAGCGGAGGAGAACAGGGAAGGTCTTTTCAACAAATGGCATGAGAACAAATGGATATCCATTAAGGAGGAAAAATGAGCCAACCTCCACTTCAAAAACACAGGCCAAATTTTATTCAAGATGAATCACAGACTACACACAAAAGCCAAATCATAAAGTTTCTAGAAGAAGAAAAGGCTCTCCCTTCAAACTGGGAATAGGCAAGGTTTCTTAAATAAATAAAGCAAAAACGATACAAGAAAAATGGAAAGTTCGACTTCATCAAAAGTAAAAGTATATTCCTGTAATAAAACACATTTGAGAAAATATGTGAGCCACAGATGGAGCAAAATATTTGCAAAGAGTAAGTAGATCAGTGGCTGCTGGGCAAAGAGAGGAGTAGGGCAGGCCTGCAATGGTTTTTTTTTTTTTTTTTTAGGGTGATTCTTTTATGTGAAAAGGTTCTAGAATTAAAGAGCAGTGATGTTTGCACAACTTAGTAAATATACAATACTTAAAGCATGCATTTTATGGTATGTAAATTATCCTATGTAATAAAACCCTAATATGCAAATCGACCAAACGGCAGAATGACCGTTTGCTATGATGCTCATTGAACACCAGGGAGCACACTCATCGCAGGAGCTTCCCCTGGTGGTCAGTGTGCTCCCACAGGAGTGGAAATTCCAAAGCAATGGAATCTCAAACATCCAGAGTCAGAAGCCAGGTTCACGGCTGGCGAGAGCAGTGGCAGTTGCAGGAGCCTCTCCTGCCTCCGATGTGGGCAGGCAGTAGGGAGCAAGGGGTCCCGGACTGCGAGAGGGTGCAGGCCAGGCCGAGGGACCCCGAAGCGTGGGCCTCTAGTATCTTAATAAAACTGTTATTAAAAATAACTATATATGGCAAAAGTGTATACCCAGAATGCATAAAAAATTCCTACAACTCAAAAATAAGACAACCCATTAGAAAATGTACAAAAGATTTGAATACTTCACCAGGGAAAATATAAAAATGGCTAATAGTCACTTGAAAATGTTTTAAACCTCATTATTCAACATGGAAATTAAATTTAAAGACTGACAATATCAAATGTTCGCAAGGATATGGAGCAAGAGGGACTCAATTAGATGGGAGGGTAAATTGGTACAGACACTTTGGGGAAAGATTTGATAGTTTTTTATAGGTAAGCATACACCTATCCCATGACCTGGCAAACTTACTCTTGGGTGTTTATCCAGGAAAAATAAAAACATATGTCCACACAGACTATGCATGAATATATAGGGTATTTGAAAAAAAATGTATATGCACTTTGAATGATTAGAAAGTCAGTTTTTATTAACATATACAGTTCATTTGCAAAATTTAAAAGAATCTACAGAAATGGATAATTTTTTTTATCAATGCCTGTTTTCAAATTTATGACTATTCTGGTCCAGGCACTGCTGATAATGCAAAGCAATGGAATCTCAAACATCAAGAATGATTTTGGCCCACCCAACGTGGCTCAGTGGTTAAATGTCAAGCTATGAACCACGAGGTCACAGTTCAATTCCTGGTCAGGGCACATGCCCAGGCTGTGGGCTCAATCCCCAGTGTGGGTTGTGCAGGAGGCAGCCGATCAATGATTCCCTCTCATCATTGATGTTTCTCTCTCTCCTCCTTTCCCCTTTGAAATCAATAAAAATATTTTTAAAAAATCATTTCAGTTCAGTATTCATGCACCCTCAATTTGTAGACTGCTGCTGGTTTTGAATAGTAAATTTCATCTTTTTTTTTTTTTTTTTTGGTTAATCCTCACTGGAGGATATTTTTCTTATCGATTTTAGAGAAAGGAGAAGGGAGCGGGGAGGGGAGAAGGAGGAGAAAGAAAGAAACATTGATGTGAAAGAGCCACAACAATTGATTGCTTCCCATGTGCGCTCCCATCAGGGCAGGGAACCTGCAACCCAGGCTCCTGTCCTTGACCAGAATCGAACCCGCGACCCTTGAGTTCAAGGGCTGACGTTCTAACCACTGAACCATGGCAGTCAGGACAAACTTTATCTTTTATGTGTCCCCCCCAAAAAAAGTCTAGTGGCACTTTAGGATAAACTTTCTTTATTCAAAGCTTAGTCTGGCTTCGTTCATTATTTCAAATCAGTTAAACCTGAAAAGGAGTGAAAATTAAGTGAGTTATGAGCTATTAAAGTGTGTATACATTTTTGGGGAACATGGTACATTAATTGCAGATTTATTTCTAATAGGTCAAAACTAGAAACAAGCAAATGTAGATCCACAAACAAATGGATAAACTAGATGTGGCACAGGCATAAAAGGGACTACTCAGCGGTGAAAAGGAATGAACTGATCCCAGTATGGTGGGCTGCCTAATGGCTCCTCAAGGTGTCCACATTCTAATCCCTGGAACCTGTCAATGTTCCCCTCTATGGCAAGAGAGTCTTTAAGGTTCTTGAGATAGGAGAGCATCCTTGATGATCGGGGTCCCCCCTAAATGTAACACAAGTGTCTTGTGATAGGCAGTCATAGGAAGATTTAACCACAGAACAAAGTCTGGAGGAGTGTGGTCATAAGTCAAGGTGCGCAGGCAGCCTTAGAAGCTGCCTAAACCTTGACTTTAGGCTTTTAAGGCTTGATTCAGACTTCTGACCTCCAGAAGTGTAAGAGAATAAATGTGTGTTTTAAATCCCTGAAACTGTGCTTTAACTTGCTACAAAATTAAATCTGTTACAGTGGCAACGGAAACAAGTAACAGATAAATCTAGAACATCATGCTGAATGAAAGAAGTCTTAGACAAAGAACATATGCAGGCATGATTCCATTTATATGAGAGTCTAGAACAGGTAGCTAATTTATATAGTGAGCAAAAAAGCACAGTTATTGCCTGGGTCATTGGAACTGACTGGGAAGGAGCATAAGAGAACTTCTGGAGGTGATACAGTCTGTCTCTCCACTTTATTATATGTAAATTTTACCTCAAACGGAAAAAGAGCCATAGATATTAAACTCTAGTTGCTGATACACAAGTTGAAATGTATGAAAAATAAGGTGAATTGATGGACAGAGTATAAATAAATAAAGCAAATGTAGCAACATGTTAATTGTAGAATCTATAAGGTGGTTTTATGGGTGTTCACTGTAGAATTTTTTCTGTATGTACAAAATTTTCCAGGATAACTGTTGGGGGAAAAGTGAGGGGAGCACTCACCATTTTTTTCTTCCTGCATCCAAAGTTGAGGATCTGTATATACAATTTTATTATATCTTTGGCGAACTGTCTCCTGGTATTTCTTAAAAAAAAAAAAAAAAAAAAAAAGTTTGATGAGAATAAATTAGTTTCATTAGAAACCAGAGCTAGCAAGAATGTCATAGCTCAGCAGATACATTTGATACAGACACATTGCCAGAAATGAGCATCTGCCAGACCAGGAAGTGATTAGCTTATGAAGTGAAGTCTAAAAATGAAGCGATTAATCTAATTAATCTAATCTAGGCCAGTGCTGTCCACTGGAGCTTGTTGTGAGGATGGAAATGTTCTATAATTGTCGTGCCCAATACAGTAACCACAAACTACTGACCACTTGAAATATTAGTATGTTTAACTTTAATTTATTTATATTTAAATAACCACATTTGGCTAGAGACTATCATTGGATCTAGGCGGTTACTCCCAAGACAGGGAAATCAGTTAAAAGACTAGGATAAACTACACATCTTTAAATTTTCAAAAAGCAACAAAAAATTGTCTCCCCTATAATGTCTCTATTTAGCAGAAAAGCCAAAATGAGATATAATCATGGTGCAGTTATAAAGAAAACACTGAATTGGTTGTTAGACTTGGATGGAGTGTCAGCCCAGCTCTGGTGGGAATTTCTGTGTGACCTTAGCCACATCACTTACTCCCTTATTGGTCTCAAGCTCCCGCTCTGAACAATCCTGGGATTGGGTTGGGTGATGTCTGAGACGGAAGATTCTGAGAAAGGCGTTCTGAAGTCAGATGGTGGAAATCACAGGTGGCACACTTATCTGTGGTGTGTCAGGCTCCCAGGCCAGCCGGGGAGCAGAGGCAGACGAGCTGAGGCATGAGGAAGCCCATGCTCCTGGCGCTCTCTGAACCACATCAGTGATACCAGGGGATATCGCTTCCTGAGCTAAGTATCAGGTAGTTATCAACTATCGGCATGATGAGACTTCATGCCACATTTTATCTTTAAAAGCACCCCACTTATTAGAGGGGGTGAGTGGCTTTATCAAGGTCAGACACCTGGTTGGCGGTTGAACTAGGATTTAAAACCAGTGATGTGATTCCAAAGTCCTGCTAATCTACAGAAACGCATGCGCAGGACCTGCGCTCAGCAAGGGCCAGCTCCCTCCGGCCCCGCGGCCAACCAGAGCCTCCAGCCCAGACCTTACTTCCATTTCCTCCATTCGGAGCAGCATGTTCTCCAGATACAGGCTGTCCCCCGAGGTGGCTAAAGCGTCAGGCTCCAATATCTTAGAAGGAGTCATAGCTCGGGGCTCACGAGTGGTATCTTCCAAAATATCGTCCAGCTGAGGACTGCTGTTGGATTTACAATCCAGAGCAGTAGCCTACGAAACAAGGGAGGAGGATGGGAAGGCTATCCAAAACCAGCAGAGGATTATGCTGATCATAAAGATTAATGCTGGTCATAACAAACCAACTACATGGTGATCCAACCGTCAGTTTCTATGCCAAATCAAACCTCCTCTGAGTTAGTAAATACCAAAATCAGTAACATCAGTACAATTTTTACCAGTCGTTTAAACAGTAGCAATAACCAAGTAATACTAATATTGTCTGTGTAAAGGATCATAATAGTTCACAGAATAAAATGTTATTAATGGCCAGTGAAGATATGAATAAGTATCCAATCTTAATCAAAGTTAAATAAAAATTTTGCCCTGGCTGGTGAGCATTGTCCCATGCACGAAAAGGTTGCTGGTTCGATTCTCGATCAGGGAACATGCTCAGGTTGCCAGCTCAATCCTTGGTGGAAGGTGTGCAGGAGGCAGTCAATTTATGTTTCACACTCACATCAATGTTTCAGTGTAAGGATGACACCCAACCAGCTGCCAGGGCTAAAAACAATGACTCTGGATGGTGCTGTGTGAGAAACTCTGCAACAATCCTGACATTTAACAGCAGCCCACAACACTAAATATGTTTCTTCTTCCATAAGCTCTAGTAAAGACCATTTAATGCAAACTCATCTGTGTAATTCTTATGTAGAAAGCTAATTATTCTTTTTTGTTGTTGTTAATCCTCACCCGAGGATATTTTTTTCCCATTGATTTTATAGAGTGTGGGAGGGAGGGAGGGAGGAAAGTTGGAGAGAGAGAGAGAGAGAGAGAGAGAGAGAGAGGGAGAGAGAAACATCAATGCAAAAGAGACACATTGATTGGTTGCCTCTTACACACGCCCCTACTGGACCAAAGATTGTACCTGCAACCCATACCCCTTTGGTGTGTGGGCTGCCACTCTAACCACTGGCCCGGTGAGGACTATCTATACAAATGAAAGGTAATGTGCGAATTAGCCTGGGAGACCTTTCAGACGTTCTTCCAGACAAAGCCATGGTGGCAGGGCTGAGGCAGAGGTGGTTAGGGGCTATTAGGCCAGGAGGGGAGGGCAGTTGGGGGTGATCATGCTGGGGAGGGGGCAGTTGGGGGCGAGCAGGCCAGCAGGAAGAGCATTTGGGGGCGTGCAGGCTGGCCGGGGGGCAGTTGGGGTGAGCAGGCTGGCAAGTGGTTAGAGGCAATCACACAGGCAGGCAGCAGTCCCAGCTTGCTAGAGGAACGTCCAACTGAGGTCTAAACTGGCAGTTGGACATCCCCCGAGAGGTCCCAGATTGGAGAGGGCACAGGCTGGGCTGATGGTAACCTCCCCCTCCCCCGTGCACGAATTTCATGCACCGGGCCACTAGTTCCTAATAATATTCAAACATGTCCACTTCACAGGGAGCATTTATAATCACTCCATTTGTGGAGTTGCCTCCCTAGATGAGATGTTAGCCTCGTTATTTTTCTAGGACAAAAGTGGCATTTGGTGGCTATCTGAACAGAGCACCAGAACATAGCATCCCCGATTTGTAAGAGCTAAACGCAGGCTTTTAGTTTCTAGTCTCAGAAGCCTCACCTCACATGAGATTCTGTCATAAAATATTGTACAATAAACTTATAATCACAAAGATTAGGAAAATATGCTGCAGCTAAAGTACTATTAATATTACAATAGGGACACATTCTGGAGATCTGCTGCCTTCCTTCCTGTTCCTAAGGCGGCTGGACTGGTGGTGCTCCTTCCAGCTCCCTCCTAGCCCTGCAGCCTTCACCCCTGCTCTGTGCGCAGACGCCATGACCTTGTTTCCAACCTGCACCCGGGGTCGGTGGTGCAGTTGGCACCTTCCACTCACAGCCTGGGCAGGTGGGAACACGCCTGCCAGCCCTCCAGAGGCTGGACAACTACAAAACATGTTCTTCCCTCAAATGTTATCATTTCTCCTTGGGCTATCTTTTCTCTCTGTGCGGCCAGATACGGGTCATTACTGGACACTCAAAACATGCCGGCCTAACAATAAATATCAGGCCACGAGTATAAAGGAAATTAGGCCAGTAATGAGCAAAACCAGGCTGAATGAAAGGAAATGAGGACAGCCATTCTCCTGCCGGAGGCCATCAGCATTCAGGGTCACGCAGTGCACTCATGTTCTCATCACGAGGAGAGCAAGAGCCGCTAACAAGAACCTGTGGCTCCAGAGACTGCCGTGAGCTGTTTGCAAGGTGATCTAACTCATAATGCTAAATGCACACTGTAAGCATTAACATGCCACATATGAAAAGTAACTTCCACTTCTTGAGTTAGATGATCTAGTGTTTGCTAAGTAATGTGCGCCTCACTTGCCTTAAAACCGGAGGCATCATCACGTAATAATACCGCACACACCTCCTCTGTAGGCTGGGCTGTCCCTGTGTTTACCGATGGTCCATCCTTCGAATGAGTATGTACTCCCACAGAAGAATTGACTCTCTATTAAAACAGACAAGCAAGCTCATGAATTATACAAATTTACAACCCATATTAGTACAAATGCATTATGTAACAGGGTAACTTCTGTGCGGACTGTTCATCAGCTTTAGCAACAGGCGGCTTTTTGTAGCAATTTGAAGCACTCCATTTTTACGAAAATAAATGTCATGTGTTTATGTGCTGATCTTGGCTTCCTGCCCCTTTTCCTCCCCCACTGTGTAAACATTGTCAGAGTAGCTGTGAGTTTTTATGCAATTACTCCACTTCTCTATCCAGTGAAACTTCTCTATCCAGTGAACTCTGGTAAAATGAAGAGGTTGGATGACATGGTCTCTAGGACCCGTCCCAGTTCTACAGTCCTGAGATTCCTATGGACTCCAACAATAATTCAACAGTTCTTACACTAGAGCCACAGAAATTCAGGGGCCTTTGCAGGGGCCCATTCACTCCATTTAAGATGATAATATCCCATTCACACACACAGACTGCTCCTATTTACAGGTGGATCCACAGGGTCTGGCCACAACATTCAGCTTAAGATGATGCTGTATACAATGTCATCTTCAAAAAAGCACTGGTATGTACCCAGAAATATCTCTCCTTTGGAAAAATAGTCATCTCAAACCACTGACGTGAAAGAGCAGAAGCAGTTAGCTAAGCACATGACCGCAGGTAGAGTCATTTGACTAAGAATGGAAATTGTGTCTGGTTGGTATGGTCAGTGAGCAAGTGTTGATCCATGAACCAGGAGGTCGAAGTTCAAATTCCGGACGGAGTCCAGGCTGCAGGCCCGATCCGTGGTGGGGGCGGAGTGGAGTCATGCAGGGGGCAGCCAATCAATGATCTCTCCCATTATTGACGTTTCTATCCCTCTCCCTTCCTCTCTCTGAAATTAATAAAGATATATATTTTAAAAAGAATGAAAAATGCAATCTAAACTCATTCCCCAAACTAAAATCTCACCTTCCTAAAAAGTGGGACTTTCTCCCTATCTTCATCACTAGCCCACAATGGAAGGCCCTCGCAGCCAGCATTGAGCAGCACAGCTCAGCACTGCAGCCTCCATCTGCCAGACACTCAGCCCTACGAAGGGTCAGCGTGACCTCTGCAGCAACTCCTTCTATTCTGGAACTTCCAAACGGCAAGCAAAAGAGGTGAAGCAGATTACCTGAGCCTGTGCCAGCAGAGGCTTCAAACGCTCCAGGACTGTCTTCTCTACCTTGTCTGCTAACTGGGTAGCAGAAACACTATTTAGAAATAAAATAGAGAATTAAAATCAAAAGCTAGAAAATATTCTATTATATATTTATTTACCATTCAGGAAATAAATATAAAATAGAAGGAAAATCAAGTGTTTATAAACCCACAATGCTTCCCTAATTGTTTTTTCACATTGATTTTAAACAGAGGCAAAGGGAGAGAGAAAAACATCGATGTGAAGGGATCAAACCCATAACCTGAGTACGTAACCTGAACGGGAATCAAATCAGCCACCTTTTGGTGTACGGGACGATGCCCCAACTGAGCCACACTGGCCAGGGCAATGCTTCCATAATATTAAGGGCCATACAAGTGCCCTAGAGTCTTATTAAAATAAGACTCTGAGTCCTGGCCAGTATTTCTCAGTGGTTAGAGCATTGACCTGCAGACTAAAGGGTCATGGGTTTGATTCCCAGCCAAGGCCTATACCTGGGTTGTGGGTTTGCTCCCCAGTCCTGGTCCAGGAACACACGGATGTCTCTCTCTCTTTTTCTTTCTCTCCCCTCCCACCCTTTCAATCCCTCCCTTCTTTACAGTCTCTCTAAAAATCAATGGGAAAAATATCCTCAGGTGAGAATTAACAAAAAATAAAAAATAGAATGCATACTCTGATTCGGTTGGTCTGACTGAGGCTTGAGATTCTGCTTTTCTAACAACTTCTAGGTAGATGCAACACTGCTGGTCCTGCATCAAACATCTGATGAAGTACGTGAGGCTCTCAGAACATTTTAAAAGAATGATGGCTGCCTTTAAACAGCTAAAGATGGTAGAAGACTGGACAAATGAAACTAATTTTGTTCCCTTCCAAAGAGCCAAAATAACAGAGTTAGACATAGACCACAAAGAGAGGGGAAAGGTGCTGGAAGCAGAAGGCCAAAGGTAATAACATAGCCGACCTGAGAAAGCGGAATACTTAGCCAGCATGGGAACACTGAACACCCACACAACCTGCACTACTGACTGACATGAGCACAAGCCTGGCAGGACCAGGCATGTCTAGCCTGGGGGCGAGCTGGGAGGTGCAGCTTAAATATGGAAGACAAGGATCAAGTGATGTTTGAGACATTAGTCCTCTCTCCAACGCTGTGAGCAGTCTGTGCTGTCTCCGGAAGGGCCTCTTGACTAAGGGATGCCAATCCCAGCTGAGGCTGCAGGGACAGTGCCAAAAGGAGTGGACCATGTATGCACGCTGAATGCCGAATGGTAGGAATTACAACCCTTCTCCCCAGCAGCCCCTAGGGCATGGCCTCCAGATCCTTACTCTCCAGGCAAAAAATCAGAAGACTCTACTCTGAACAGCCTGACTCCCCTCTTCCCCTGCCAAGGAGAGACCTAAAGACCAGGATGAATTACAGCTAATTATTCCAGCCAGATGACCCTAGAGCAGTGGTTCTCAGCCTTTCTAATGCTGTGACCCTTGAATTCTTCATGTTGGATGTCCCCCAACCATAAAATTATTTTCATTGCTACTTCAAAACTGTAATTTTGCTACTCTTACGAATCATAATGTAAATATCTGTGTTTTCCGATGGTCTCAGGCTGTACAGTAGCAGTTCTCAACCCAAAGGTTGAGAACCGCTAGCAGGGTCGCCTAAGACATGAGGAACTGTATTAAAGGGTCTCGGCATTAGGAAGGTTGAGGACCACTGCTCAAGAGGAAAGCTAAAGTTCAAGAATCCTTTCAGCATCAAGCCAGTGGAGCCCAGAGGACAGTACAGAACAGCCACCCAGCCCTCCTCAGCCGCCAGGACTCCCCTGCACTCCAATCCTGGCTCCACTGCAGTCTTCTGAGGTGATTTCAAAATCTTTTAAGCATGCAGACAGCCAATAAACGTAAGTGTGACTACACCTTTAAACCATTTTAATTAGCTGGCTGTTAAAATAGTTAGATGATATATTAATAGATCAAGCCTATTCTTTCTCTACCCCAGAAACAGATATTTACCTCTGATTTTGCATTTTGTCCATTTCCTCAGCTTTTAATTCTCCGAGTTCCTTCAATCTTTTGGAAGTTTCTGCATCAAGCCAAGCGAGTCTAGTAGACAGAACAAACACAGTCAGACCACTTCTGCTTCGGTCTGCAAGTGCCAATACCACAGACACAGACTGGGATACCAGAGAGCTATCCTGCCTCTAGGAAGGATGCAGAGGGTAACACAATCTCTCTGGACCCCAAAAGCTCTCCAAGTAACGTTCTGGGTAAAAAGACACTTCTGTGCACAAGCACTCCTTGTGTGCAGAGCAACAAAAACTGCTCCCGAATATTCCTCAGAGAACTATCTATGCCTGGACTTAGGATTTCCTGTCCAACTATAAAATAAGCTGTTGCTGTAGCTACATGTTGTTCTAGGGGTCCTCAAACTTTTTAAAGTGGGGGCCAGATCACGGTCCCTCAGAGAGCTGGAGGGCCGGACTATATGAACTACTAATTCCTACTGTAACACCTCGGCTGCGCTCACTGCCCAAAAAACCTGGCGGGCCGGATCAGACTCCTCTGCGGGCCGCATGTGGCCCGCGGGCCGTAGTTTGAAGACGCCTGGTTAGACAAAGCAATGGACTCCCAGAGAACCTTAGAGGCCCGGTGAAGTCAAATAAAAGTGAAGGGAAAAGCTCACTCTGTGCGGATGGGCTCTGATTCTTTCGATTTGGGATATGTAAATATTATTCAATTATTTAATGGCCCATATTCATTTTTGCTTTCCTCACAGGGAATGTTCTTGCCGTATCATCCCCTATTTAGGGCCTAATTTAGTGTTTAATCCTAATTTATTTTCCCTTATAAAACCTCTGTTCTTAACCCTTTACTTCTTAGGGTACACACCATGTTTCATCTTAAATTACAGCTAATGGCAAGTCCTTCCTAGGGGCTGGGATTTGGTCTTTTTTGCCCTTTTTCAAGTCTCCATAGCACTCACAACTGTACCATATACAAAGCAAGCAACTGGCAGCCAACTAACACAAATATAACTTAAAAAAGATATTGTGTTAATTGTCTATTTTATTTATGCATTTAAACATTATTATTGGATTAAGTCCAAAAGTGCCACCAAACTGCCAAACAAGTCCATGGCACAAGTGACCTTCAAGACTCACTGGAGAAACATGACCCCTCTCTGGAGCCCTCTCATCCTTACTCACCTTACCTGCTCTGTTCTTCCTTCCTGTTTGATGTTCTCCCACTGGTTCCCCTTCCTATTCCTGCTCCTGGGGAGCTAACCCAAAGCTCAACCCCTGACCCACAACTAAATTCTGTTTCCTACTTCTTCCCTGTAAATATCACCTACCTGCATGACTAATTCAAACACTGCCTCAAAGATGACACCCAACTCTACCTCTCCTAACTTCTATCCTAGATCTTAAACGACCTGCTGTGCTTAGCAACCAGAATAACACACCATCCAGGGCAGACTGCCTGGGTTCAAATCCCAGCTTTGGTCACTGACTAAAAGTGTGACCGTGGGTAAATGACTGAACATGTCTTGCTTCACTTGAAAAATGGGAGTGATAACCACAGTATCTACTTTATAGGGTCACTAGAGGCCCAGTGCACAAAATTTGTGCACCTGGAGGAGGGAGACCCTCAGCCCAGACTGCACCCTCTCGTAGTCTGGGAGCCCTCAGGAGATGTCTGACTGATGGCTAAGTGATTCCATTGAGGCAGGAGAGGCTCCCACCACTGCTGCTGCGCTAGCCTGCCATAAGCTCGGATTCTGGCTGAGCACCGCTCCCCCTGTGAAAGCACATTGACCACTAGGGGACAGCTCCAGCATTGAGCATCTGCCCCCTGGTGGTCAGTATGTGTCATAGCAACGGATCGTTCTGCTGTTCTGTCAATTTGCATATTAGCCTTTTATTTATATAGGATAATAATTAAGAGAGCTAATATGTGTAAAGCACTTGACACTCATATAATTTTTGAATGAATTAAATAAGGAATAAAAAAGGGATTCTCTGTCTGATAGTTTGACAGAAAATGTTAATAATTTACATTTTAAAGAACTACTTTATACACAAGGAAGAGAAGAAAGTTCCTTTAGAATCTATGTGAAAGGGGCCCTTACATTTTTAAAGATTTGAAAATATCAGCACAAACCTAACTGCTTCGTGCTCAACAGCTCCTCCCAACTGACTTTCCTCTGGAGCGCTTTCTTGCTCGACAGACTGCTCTTTCGTGGCATCTTTGGGGCTGGGTCTCACCTTCAGCCATGCAGCACTGCAAGAAATGAGAAGTGTATCTCTGTGATCGTCCACTCCACGGCCGGTGGCTCCCGGAAAGGTGACAGCTCAGAGGAGATAAAAGCACTCAGTAATGGTGATCTCCAGCACAGGGCCCTAACGTGGCAGCTGAGTGTGAACAAGGGTGAGATCCCCCAGGACTCAGGCTCAGTATGAAAAGAGCAGTTCTCCTTTTGCTTCAAAGAAGCAATCACTATTTTACTTTGTTAATCCTCACCTGAGGATATTTTCTCCACTGATTTCCAGAGAGTGCGAAGGGGGCAGGAGGGAAGAGAGAAAGAAAACATCAACTTGAGAGACACATTGATTGGTTGTCTTCTGCACATGCCCTGGGTCAGGGATAGACCTGCAACCCAGTTATGTGCCCTTGACTGGGAATCGAACCTGTGACCCTTCACTGTGGAGGGAAGGGGGCAATGCTCTAACCACTGAGTGCCACCACCCATGGCCAATCACTATTTTAAATGGGGAAAAAAGTCAATTATAGAGTAATAGGTAAACTTCAACAAAAACCTGTTATATAGACCTGGGTCACTAATTACATTCCATATTATGAAGCAATCCTTTACCTTTATAGGCCTAATACAGCACTTTGAGCCTGGAGGCCTTATTATCCACTCCTCTTCCAACCCACCACACATACACTCAGCTGGAATATAAATTTCAGCTAATTGATGTTTACCAATTGAATTCACATCTCTATACTAACATATACATAAAAGACAGAATTTAGAGGAAATAAAAATTAAAAAAGCACGTTGTGCACTCAGAAGACCTGTTATGAGTCCTAGCTCTGCTATGTAAGGAAGACAGTAAACTCTCTAGACATTGCTTCTTCTTCTTTAAAGTGAGAGCTGATGGATAAGCAGAACCATTCATTTAGAATCATTCAACCTTAAGGGAAATCCATTCAACCAAGCTTCTTACCCTGTCCTTTGCCAGCCCCCAAAGGCAGACCCCTTCAGTCACTTAACCTCTCACTCATTTGCTCGCCACATTATTACTTTTTGCTGCCTTCCTTTTACTGTCCTACCTCCTGTACTTCCTACTGTGCCATGGCAAACAAGTTCCCCTCTAACCAACTCCACAAAGAGGTTACTACTCCCACCTAACCGGACCCGATGCCCCCAGAGGACAATACCTTCTCTCTGGCTGTGGGGAATGAGGTGACACAACAATGTCAGCATTATCCCAACTGTCCCCTGCAGTCAGACAGTGTCTGTGAGATCGTTATAGTTTTGTAAATCATTATTATCTGGAATTAGAATCACTTTAAAATATTCACTCATCCATCCAGCAAAGACGTACTGAATTCCTGCTAAAATTTACTAAGTATCAGATACTGTGCTAGGCATGGAACATTCAGATACGGGCGAGGCACAGGTCCTGGCCTCAAGTAGCTAGAATGTATTAGGTGAAGAGACAGTGAGGAAAGCCTATGAGCCTCCATACAATGACACATCCACAAGGTGTTGGGTGGCCCATGGAGGCCACACTACCCGTCGTCAGGTAGGAAAAACGTCTTAATGGAAACGAAGGCTGCTGCTTTATTTGCACTAAATAATAGGTGGTCTTTGACCTGTGAAGGAAAAATAAAGTCACATACCCAAATGGTCCCTTGAATTTTTACATACCATTTAGGAGATGCTTGTGGGGACGTGGGGTTTGGAGGTATCCAAGGAGCCCTACTGTCTTTCACAGGCTGTTGGTTTATTTTTAATCTGGATGAAACTGTTGTTTGATGCAGCCTGCTTTTGCCCTGATATTGGGTTGGTCTACTTTTTTCAGCTTTGTGAAGTCCCTGTAAGAGAGAAATAAGAATTATCAAACCAAATGAATATCAAAGAAATTGACTTACTGAAGCTTCAAGTGCCCCTCTGCTATTCATGCATCTAATCAGCAAAAATCTAACTGGGAAGCACTGAGGTGGAAATTTGGGGGAGGGTGTAAATGACACAAAAACAATGTTGGTAAGCGGGGAGGGGAGATGCAAAACTGGAGTCCATAGTTTTGCCATCTTTTGATATATGTTTTCATAATAAACCAAAAGAAGAGAGTTAAACTGTAAAACGTTCTTGGTTAACTTCTCTGAGCCTCTGGTTTCTCATCTGTAAAATGGGAGATAATTTCTTTTTCTGTTCGTTCTATCTTTATTGTTGAAAATATTACAAATGTCCCCTTTTTCCCACACTGACTCCTTCTAGCCCATCCCCCATTCCACACAATTGTCTGTATCCATGGGGTACACATATATGCATAAAAATTATTTGATTAATCTCTTCCTACCCACCCCTACCTTCCCGCTGCAATTCATCAGACTTTCCATGTTTCTATGTCTCTGGATCTATTTTGTTCATCAGTTTATTTTGTTCTTTAGATTCACATACGAGTGAGATCATATGATAGCTGTCTTTCTCCAACTGGCTTAAGGAATTTATTGACCGTAGCAAAAATATACTTAGGGCAGTGAAACAAGGAAGGGCATAGAAGTGGGAGATAATTTTCTTCACAAGTTTCTAGAAGGTTAAATGAACAGTATGACGACAAAGGTAGAAAGGCTTGTGCCATCTACACAGAATGATTACAATGTTACAGAAAAGGAGGTGTCTCTGAAAAGAACACCAAGCTCATTCTCACAGGCTCAGTTCTAACTTCCCAATGACCCCCAGAGAGTAACTGCAAAGGAATAAAGACGATCCAAATCCATGATCCGTCAGTAACTGGTGTTAACTGCTAATTCCTTTTCCTGTGGTCACCAAATAATATAGGTTTGCTACAGAAGCCCCGAACAGCACCATTAAATGGCAAGAACCACATCAAGGATATTTAGACTACGAGGTGGTGTTCTGGCCATTCCCCACTGGTAGGGCCTTAAGTTAAATTTCAACTAGAAGCTTAAAATATAATCTAGTTTCAAGCCAGCTGGCTTCCAAAGCCATATTAGAAAGTACTCACCCTAGGATGCTTTTAATATTGAGTAGTTATTATTTACCAATATTTATCTTTAGTAGGAACCAAATCTTAATCTCCTCAAAGTTCACACTTCTAAATCAGAAGCAGAAAAACCCAAATTTTGAAATAGCCTGTCTGATTAGGACCTTGATATCAAATAAGTTAGGATATTAGCAAGCCAGGATAAGAGAGAATATCCTGTCCTAGCAACAATATTAAAAATTGCTATTTCTGGTAAAAAATAAAAACAATCCAGAGCCAGGTGACCTGGCTTAATTTAGGTAGTTGGACTAAGTGAGCTTAATTGAGGTAGTTGGACTCAAGGGCTCTGGCATTTAATGTCTAAGAACTCAAATCCTGGCTCCACCTTACAGCCCATTTAACGTTGGAGTGTCAGGTGGATATAATGGGCCAAAAGAAAGAAGTGATTTCATACTTGCTGGGATCTTGCTGGTGCCAGAGCCTCTTTCTTCACAATGTCAGTCACAGGCCTCTTCCCCTCTCCTTTGGTTTTTGCCGGGGCTAATGGTTCTTCTTTGAAGCTTGCATTTTGGTCTGGAACAGTGAGAGCTTCCTCTGGAAGGAGATCCCCAACTAATGCATCAAAATCCTTCTCCAACCCCGGGGTCCTCAGAAGCTCTTCATCAGGTGGATATTTATCTATATGGAGATTTCAAAAGGACAAACTGAGGAAAATTGTATTCACACCAAGTGGGAGAGAATGATTGTCTACAGACAGGCATGCTCCTTGTTGTCAAAGTTGCTCCTCCTCTGACTCCTACTGTACTTCTACAAGCAGAAATTCAGGGTTGACGCCCTGAATTTCACCTCCCACATTTACTCACTCACCTGGTCCCTTTGACCCTAATTCTAAAATATCTCGTACTTATCTCTGCCCTTCCTCCCCTTCTGCACTTCCCAAGGTCAGGCTTGCGATACCTTTGACTGAAGTGACAGCATCTACCAACTCCTTCACCTTCAATCACACCTTCACCTGGCTACCAAAATTGTCTTTCCTAACATGTAAATATATTGTCCTGGCCAGTGCTGCTTAGTTGGTTGGAACATCATGCCATATACGGAAAGGCTGCGGTTTGATCCCTAGTCGGGGCACATACAAAGGCAACCGATCAATGTTCTCTCTCACATGGATGTTTCTCTCTCTTTCTCAGTATTCCCCTCTCTCTAAAATCAGTAAGCATATCCTGGGGTGAGGATTAAAAATAGAAAAAGTAAATATTTAAGTGTCATTTGTCCAAACTTTTGATGGCTCCTAATTTGATACCAAATAGAGTCTGAACTCCATACAGGACATACACCCTGCAATGGTAAAGGAAATAAAACCACCCTTTTTGAGGATGAGATAATGCTTACTATATAAAAAATCAAGACTATATACAGGCAAACAATTACAACTAAAAAGAGAGTTCAGCAAATATTCTATATAAAAGAAGAAAAACATATAAAATCCAGCATCATTCCCATATTTCAAAATAATATGAGAAAATATAAGAGAAATAAATCCTATTAACATTAGCAACAAAAACTATAAGGCACTTAGGAAGAAAACTAAAAAAAGATATACAAGACTTTTACAGAAAAAAAAAATTAAATATATTTTTTGCCTTAGCTGGTTTGGCTCAGTGGATAGAGCATTAACCAGCGAACTGAAGGGTCCTGGGTTCAATCCTGGTCAAGGGCACATGCCTGCATTGCAGCTCAATCCCAAATAGAGGGCTTGCAGGAGGCAGTTGATCAGTGATTCTCTCTCATTATTGATGTTTCTTTCTCTTTCCTTCTCCCTTCCTCTCTGAAATCAGTGAAAATACTTTTTAAAAAAATTAAAGGTATTTCTAAAGAATGTGAAAAAAAGAAGATATGAATAAGTTATTTTCATGAATGGAAAAAATACTGGAAAGATGTCAATTCTCCCCAAAGTAATTTATAATTTTCAATGCAAATCCAATTAAAATCCCTACTTTTTTTTTTTTTTTTTTTTGTGTGTGGAAATCTAACCTCAATATTCTTATGAAGAAGAAAACCCAAGATAGCCCAAATAATTGTGAAGCACAATAACAGAGTATGGAGTGGGAAGGAGTGGGTGGCTTATTCCACCAGAGATGCAGTGTTCATGGTAAAGCTGTAAAAATCATGGCAGTGTGGGAGTGAAGCATGAACAGGCAGGAACCAATGAGCAAATGGCTATGACAAAGGCAACGTGAACATCAGTGCTAAGACTATCCGTGTCCACAGGCAACAAAATGAAACAGGGTCCCTGCCTCACAGTGAACAACACTTAAGTCCTAAATGGAACAAAGACCTAATGTAAAAGGAAAACTTTACAGCTTTGAGAAGAAAATATAGGAAGACTGTGACTATGATATCAGTACAGAAAAGGCTTTCTTAAACTCATATATATTAAGATATTTAATTTAATTATACTATGCTACAATTTCCTTTTGACAAAAACACATCATCTAGGTAAAAGGTAAGTTAAGAGTCTGGAAGTAGAGATCTGTAACGCAAATAATTAACATAGGAATTATATACAGAATATATAAAGAAGATCCACAAATAAGCAATCCTATAGAGAACTAGACTAAAGATAGAAACCAGCAATATAGAAAGAAAAGCTGAACTGTTAATAAAAACATGAAAATATAATGACTGAGAATCAGAGAAATCCAAATTAAAACAATGAGGTACCCTTTCACTCTCCAAGTGCCTAGCTGTGTCAGACATTGGGCTGGTCATAAAGGACACAATGGCAAACAGACATGGTACTTGTCCTGAAGGGAAAAGGCTGGCACAGGCAGATGCTATATTAGTTCCAATTGCTTGACAATGAAGAGAATATCACATTATAGTGAATAAATGTCTAATAATAATGCAGCAAATTCATTTTTGTTACATTCATTTTAGAGGTGGTACAATAAACTACTAAATAAATCAAATGAAAATTGAAGTGACATATAACTTTCAAATCAGTAGAGGAAACACAAATGAAACAAAAAATATTTATCAATATAATCAATTACAACAAAAGGGGGAAAAAGTCTTGACAAATAAAAAACATAAAATAAAATAAAAAAGTTCAAATGCATCATTAGTCAGTAAATGTAAGTAGGTTACATATAGAACTGTATTACAGGGCTTAAAACACCAAATTATTTATAAGCAACTTTCTTAAAATAAAACATCAAAGGAAGATGGAACATAAAGGAATGAAAGCTATTATTTTAAGCCAAACGAGTCAGGTAGATGAAACAAAACAGAACAGAATCCAAAGTGAATAACATTAAAGAAGACGAAGAGAAATATTTACTACTACTATCACCGTGTTTCTCCGAAAATAAGACATCCTCCGAAAATAAAACCTACTTACAAGTTTCCTTCTGAGTGAAATATAAGACCCCCCCAGGCTAAGCATGAGAGATTTGGTCCACTGATTCTGAAAGAAATGGAGTCACAAGAAATTCACCAGGAAATTCAGGAATTGGATTGTTATGATGATGTTCCAGAAGATGATGACATGATTATCATTGAATAAATGAGTAAATTCTTGATACTTTAGGATTCAGTTTGTCTGGTTTGTGTTGACAACTACCGTACTACCATACCATATACAGGTAATCAATTTCCTTTATTTTCATTTAACAATAAATGTGTACCGTATTCTTCTTCATGGAAAAATAAGACATCTCCTGAAAATAAGACCTAGCGCATCTTTGGGAGCAAAAATTAATATAAGACACTGTCTTATTTTTGGGGAAACAGGGTAATGTATAAAATCCCCAAAACAGATTTAATGGTCAGGAATTCTTATGCACCTAACAGCAGAATTTCAAAATATAAAAAACAAAAATGAATAAAAATATAAGAAATTAGGAAAGTTTCATGTATCAAAAAAGACTTTAGGAGAGACACCAAGATGGTCACATAGCTAAACACCTAAATTGCTGCCTCACACAGCAACAAAATCAAAGCAGGAATAAAAAATCTGCCAACAAACAAGTCTTAGACCATAGCTTCACATGGGGGATTCTACCAATTATTCAAAGAACTAACATCTATCCTTTCTCAAACAATTCCAAAAAATTCAAGAGAAGGGAAGACTCCCAGTGTGGAGGTTCATCAAAAAATTAAAAATGAAACTGCCTTATGACCCAGCAATTCCTCTTCTAGGTTTATTTCCAAAGAAATCCAAAGCACTAATTCAGAAGAATATATGCACCCGTGTTCACTGTAGTGTCATTAACAATAGCCTTGATATGAAAGCAACCCAAGTGCCCATCAGTAAATGGGTGGGTAAAAAGGGGAGGTACATATCTACAATGGAATATTACTTGGCCATAAAAAAGAATAATCTTCATGTCAGTAAGAGAAAGACAAATACCATATGATTTCACCTATAAGTGAACTCTAAAGAACAAAATAAATGGACAAACTAAATTGAAACAAACTCATGGATACAGACAATAGACTGATGGTTGCCAGAAGAGAGGGAGTAGGGGGACTGCATGAAAAGGAGTAGAGACAAAACAGTCCAGGGGATGTAAAATACAGCATAGAGAATATAGTCAATAATATCTTAATAACTATGTACAATATGATGCCAGGTGGGTACTGGAAATATCAGAGGGACATTCTGTAAAGTAAATGATTATCTAACCACTATGCTGTATACCCGAAGCAAATACAAAATAATATTGAATGTAAACTAATTTAAAAATAAAATTTAAAAAAGCACCAAAATAGAATTTAAGGGAAAAAGTACAGAGAATAATGATGTTCATTCAAGTGCTAAAATAATTTTTGTCCATTAATCTCTAACATAGTACTATAAACATTAATCAATTGTGCAAGTACAGTACAATGCAATTCTGGTTTTTTAAAATTTGTGTTGATGATTATAATAAATTATCAATAATATTCAATAGATACATACTGAAATTAAACATAGTTTACAAAGTAAAGAAAAAGGAGAAGCATTCCCATTAAATCTGGGAGGCAAAATAATGTCTGCCATTAGAATTATTACTAAATTAAAACCCACTCAACACAGAAAGAGAAAGAAGGAAAAGTATAAAAATTATAAAAAGAAAGGCAAAGCTTTACTTATTTGCAGGTGATCTCATCTATTTGGAAAAATACAGAAGTATCAACTAACAAAATCTCATATTTCATCAAACCTAAAACACTGAGTATAAACATTATTTTATGCACAATAGCAAATTATAAAATACTGCCAATTAATTATGATATCGTCAATTTAAAAATGTATCCCAATTTCAGAAATGTTCAAATGTATACCTTTTCATAGCAAATTAAAGATTTCAGCCAAGTGTCAGACATAAGAGCAATGTACATATTCAATAGCTCTCCTATAAGGAGCAATAACCAATTTCAAAATTAATAAAAAAGAAGGTCCCATTCCAAGAGTAATAATAATTAGAAATAAATCTAACAAGGAATTTTGAGATGCATATGTATTCCTATGTCAGAAATTCTTGAATGCAGAAAATTATAAAATTCAACTAAAGAGATGGACAAAGAACATAGATAAAATGACGGGCCAACTTCATATACTAAAGATGCCATTTCTCCCCTAAATAATCTATGAACTCCATGTAATACCAATCCAGATCCTGACAGCATTTTTCATGGAACTAGACAAGCTCATTTAAAATTCCTCTGAAGATAAGCAATCACCATCAGCAAAATTTTGTAAAAGAACAAAGAAGAAAAAGTTGCCTCATGAAATATTAAAATTTTCTGTACCAGAAAAAGTATTATAAGCAAATTGCAAAAGCAAGTAACTAAGAGAAAATATCTATAATATATGTATACCATAAAAGGACTAAGATCCTGATTATATAAAGAATTTCTATACATTCTAGAAGAGAAAATAGACATGACTAAGGAACACATGAAAGAAACAATAATCTTCCTCACTAGTAATCAGGAAGATATAATAAGATACCATTTCCCACTGAGAGACTGGGAAAAAAAACATAATTTATGCCCACTTTCAAGGACAAGTTGCCAGTATATGTCTGATAATACATACCACATGGGCTAGCAATTCCACTTCCTAGGAATTTACTATTATACTAGAGACCTGGTGCGTGGGTTCGTGCACCGGTGGGGGTGGGGTCCCTCGACATAGCCTGGGGGGACTGGGCCGAAACCAGATCGCTCCTGCCTGCTGCTCCTGCTCATCCCAGTCCCACTGCACCTGCTGCCACTGCCACTTGGAAGGCTCACTGCCACTCTGCTGCAGTCTCCGGGCTATGGCAGCCAGCTGTGAGCCCTGCATCTGGGCACCCGTCAGTCAACTGAGCAGTGCTCCCACTGTGGGAGCACACTAATCACCAGGGGGCAGCTCCTGCATTGAACATCTGCCCCTGGTGGTCAATGTGCATCACAGTGACTGGTCGACTGATCATTTGGTTGTTCAGTCATTGGGTGGCTTCACTTAGGCTTTTATATATATAGCTAAAGAGATATATGTATATAAAAAGATTCATATATATCCAATGTAAGATATACACATGCACATTGGATATATATGTATCTCTTTATCTATATATCTATTTATTTATCTATCGTTAAAATTAAAAGTAGGGCTCTAACTTCCAGCTCTGTAGAAATTTACTTTGGGTAGCCCAAATGCTGTATGTAGGAAAAGGTCCCCTATGGAAGAATATTCCAGTCTCCAGTCTTGTTCAAGTATACCTATTGAGGACTAGGTTTTAAATCTTAACTTTTCCCTCAGTGTAGCCAATGTTACAGTCCAGACAATTCCAAGGAATAAAATGCCTTGCAATGAACACTTTAAGACACATACCAGCAAGAACCTTCTTTGCCACTGAAGGTTGTCTTGTTTCCTTTGGAAGTATCTTCTTCGTTACACAGGGTCTCCTCTCGCTCTTTGGCAATGCACTCTGCCATCTCTCCAAGGGCCATGGACTATCAACAGGAAATCTGCTGCTAATTTCAGTAATATTTTTCTTCACCTTTTGTGGTGACAGTTTCTTTTCCAAGAGGGATTCCAAAGCCTGCCATGAAACAGTCAATTATTCTTTTAGTATATCTCTTAGTGATTAAAAAGTCTGACTTTTAACCACAAGACTGAAAATGAAGACTCCAGAGAAATGTGTTATCAATGGCTATTTCTAATGATTAAGAAAACACTGTTCAACTTAACTTTAAAACTTTAATATTTAAAGTTTTAAAGTTAAGTTAATAAAAGAAATTCTGCTTTTATGAAGCTCACTAAAACCATAGCAAAAAAAAATACAAAATATGAATACATTTTTGTTGTTAATTCTCACCTGATGATATTTTTTCCATTGATTTTTAGAGAGAGTGAAAGGGAGGAAGAGGAGAGAGAGAGACACATCGATTGGTTGCCTCCCACATGTAATCCAACCAAGGAGGGGTTCGAACCTGCAACCCAGGTATCTGCCCTTCACCAGGAATCGAACCTGTGACCCTCTGTAGGGTGTCGAACTCAATCAGAGAAGGGGCCAAAATCTAAAATCCAGCCTAAATCGCGGGCCGAATGGTTTACTGAACAGTCATAAACTGTCATTGTGATGGAAACGCAGCGGAGTGCAGTGATGACAGCGCGGTGCGGGCCACATTGCAAGGCCTGGCGGGACGGATTTGGCCCGCAGGCCTTGTGTTTGACACATGTGCTTTAGTGTGCAGGTTGATACTCTAACCACTGAGCAACTGGCCAGGGCAAAATATGAATACTTTTAAAGGCATCCAAGTCCTAAAATTAAGGATCACCATTTTAAATACTAACCATAGTTTTCAGAATATAAACCTGCATGCTTTTAAAGCATTTTAATTCTCAATAAAAAACTCATAAACTCAAATAATTTTAAGCGGGCAAACACTTAATATACATTTTCATAAACTAAAGGAAACTCTGTGTGTCCAGTGTCTCTGGTCACTCATTACTACAATGGTAGAGCTGTGCCTGCTTTCTAAAGGAGGCAACTCCACCAAAACCGGTTTGGCTCAGTAGATAGAGCATTGGTCTGCAGACTGAAAGGTCCCAGTCCGATTCCGGTCCAGGGCATGTACCTTGGTTGCGAGCACATCCCCAGTAAGGGGTGTGCAAGAGGCAGCTGATCGATGATTCTCTGATTCTCTCTCATCGATGTTTCTAACTCTCTATCCCTCTCTCTTCCTCTCTGTGAAAAATCAATAAAATATATATTTTTTAAAAATAGGGAAAATTATAGTTGTACCTACCTCAATTGGTCATTGCACAGATTAAAATAAACCATGTGTAATAAACAATAAATAAATAAATAAATAAATAAATAAATAAATAAATAAAATAAAAATAAAGGAGGCAACTCCTCTAACACAGTACCCCCCTCACGCATGACCCAGCAGTAAGGGCCTAGTGTCCATCTGGCCTATACAAATTAAAGGCAACTGAAAAAGCCAGGGAGGTTTAGTTCAGTGACAGGAAGGCAATGAAAAGATAAGCTGTGGGATGGCACAATACATCAACAAGAATAAACTGTTTGCACTATGGAATACTTTCAAACATAGGAGAAACAGACATTGTGTTTAAGAAACATTAAATTAAGACACTCTTGCTCAAAATTTGGGAAAATGACTAGATAATCTCTTGCCATCTTTTCTAGAGTTATAAATATATATCCTCTAAATGAAATAATTTTGACCAATAAATGTTTCTTATGGGTAAGTCTAAAAAACATCACATGACTTGATATAGTGTTTAGAGGTCTGCACTGGACCATAACCTTCTTGATAGAGAGTTCTAACTACCCAAACATAACCGATGCATTCACGAACATACGCTGGATAATGGACTTGTAAAGGCAGAAGGAGCCTTAACGACTGCCACGGGCCAGTTAATGGTAAAACTGGTGTGCCACGCAGTCCACAGTTCTCCAAACTTCAGCCCCTTTCCTCTACAGCCCACAGCTGCTGTGTCACACTGACAGCAGGTCATCTTTTCATTTGTAGCTGAAAACATGTGGTGTAGTGGAAATAACAGTGGCATGAAATCAGAAGATAGGAATTTGATTCCCAGCTCTCAAGGAAAGTAATTGTGTCATCTTTCTAACCTTAGCTTTTTAAAAAATGTTATCTGTAAAATAAGACATTCTGCAAATCACAGCACTGCAGTCAAGATAAAATGGCAAAATTATGTGGTAGCACTCTGTGAACTTCCGAGAACTATCAAGATTTAAGGCGATATTGTCCTTGTTGTCTGTCATCAGTAAGAAGGAAGAACACTATCCATTCCTTACTAGGACTTGCCAACTGTGATTTCCTGAAGTTTCTAGCCATATTATAAGATTTGAGGCTCTGCTTCCATATATCTTAAAATGTTTTTTTCCATAAATCTCTCTAGATCACATGCTAATATTTTAACTGAAACACTAATTTAAGATTGTTTTACTGTTTTTCCTTTTCTCTGCTAAAATTCTTTATTAAATGGCACAGTCAGGAAATGGAAAATTCCTTTAAATTAATGGACCTGGTTAAGAGTGGTTGTATGTTGTAGATTCAAATGACCAATTCTCAAAGATGTGAAAGACAATTATTATAGATTAGACCAGCGGTAGCCAAACAATGGTCCATGATGTCTGAAAGGTCAGTGGCAGCTGGACTAGAAGATAAAAACAATAAAATAAGAATGAAGTCCAGCCTGGCAGGTTTGGCTCAGTAGATAAGAGTCTCAACCTGCGGACTGATGGGCCTTGGGTTCGATTCTGGTCAAGGGCACATGCCTAGGTTGCAGGCTCAATCCCCAGTAGGGATGTGCAGGAGGCAGCCAATCAATGACTCGCTCTTATCATTGATGTTTCTCTCTCTCTCTCCCTCTCCCTTCCTGCCTGAAATCAATAAAAATATATTTAAAAAAGAAAAAATTCCTAACTATTTCTAGTTTTTAAAAAAATGAAATCCTTTCACTACCCTCAGTAAAACTTTAATTTACTAGTTGTAGCAGCTTTGTATGGTATTCTCCATAAACCTCAATGAAACTTAGAGATGGTAAATATTATTTCCCTGCTTAGAAAAAAATGTACTTTTGCATCATCTCATACACCAAAAGGTTGTGGTTTGGGTTCAATTCCCAGTCAGAATATATATGGGAGATAACCTATGGCTGTTTCTTTCTCACATAGATGTTTCTCTCTCTAATACTCTCCCTCCCTCCCTCCCTCCCTTCTTCACTCCCTCCCTTCCTCCCTCCTTTCCTCTCTCTCTTTCTTCTCCTTACCCTCTTCTTCTCTATAAAAACATATCCTGGGGTGAAGATTAAAAAACAAACAAACCAAGAAACAATGCATTTTTTAACAACAATAAGTCAATTTCATACCTCAATTTGTTGCAGGATATCTATCACCACATCAGAAACGGAAGAATCAGCATCCATCTTGGCAGAACAGAGTGAGAGCTGGCGGATAAGACTGCCCAGTTCCCTGTACTGAGCAGGAACTGGGTGCTCCCCTCGGTCCGTAAACTGAGTGACAAACATCTGTAAGGCTCGAATGGCTCCTCGATAGGCAGATGCCAGCCTGGACATTGCCCATGACTGGCAATGAGTGAAATGTGAGAAGTTATTTCCATATTCAGAACGTCCTTATTTTAACCCCACCCTTAAGGATATTTACAGTCTATCCTAGTGGTTCTCAACCTTTCTAATGCCGCAACCCTTTAATATAGTTCTTCATGTTGTGGTGACTGACCCCCAAGCATAAAATTATTTTTGTTGCTACGTCATAACTGTAATTTTGCTACTGTTAATGAATCGTAATGTAAATATCTGATATGCAGGATGTCTTAGGCCACCCCTGTGAAAGGGTCATTCAACCCCCAAAGGGGTCGTGACCCACAGGTTGAGAACCACTGGCCTATCTCCTTTCTATATCAAACTATTTCTAAGGTGAAGATTTTTTCATAGTAAAGGGAATTGTAAAGTTTAAAGATTTCTAATGACAAAATCATTTTCTTCCTATTCTTCTTCATTTCTTACACCAGCAGCAACAACAACAGTCTATTTTCAAAAACTGTCCCTTGGAAGACAACCACAAATTCATTAGTTATGGTGCCAATGTCCTCACTAACCAGTTTCTATAAGCACTGGAAATGGTATTAGCACAGAGAACACACATGATACTAACAAAACATTGGAAATCTAACTTAGAAATAATATCAGTCATAATTAAATTGCATCATACCTTCTTAGTGTGTTTAGTATTATGTGGACTCAATTTATCCAATTCTTCCTGGATTTCTCTAACCTGTGTTGTAAAGGGGGGGAAAATGAAAAGTTTGTACCTTTTCATTGATCTTTTTTTATAGAAAAGGAAACAGCTTGTCTTGTCCAAATACAGCCATTATTATTTCAAGTCATTTGAAAATGAGACAAGGATCTTCATTCATGTACCCCAAAAATAGATAATTGGTTTTCCATCCCTTGTCCCCAGTGTAAAAGGAACCAAACATGAAGGAGGGAAGGTGCAGGTGACTCTGAAAGGTAGGAGCCGGGTCAGTCCTCAGTGGGTCCTGTTACAAAGCCATGGGCGTCTTTACAGCAGAGGTCTGACAGGGTAGCATTTATGTTTTAAAACAATCTCTATGGTAGCAATATAGAGTAAGGACCCAAATACAATCCAACAAGAATACAGAACAAAATCTAATTCACACGTTTTCTTTTAAATAAAAAGGTCCAGGTTTTGGTTAAGCAATAAGGCCAACATGTGACTAAAGTGACCAGAAATGAGTTAAAGACTTATTCATGAGTAAGGCCTTAAAGTTAAAACACACATTTTTTAAAAAACATACCCATAAACAATATAAATGCCCATTTATCAGCCTTTAAATGTGTCCTGAAAGATACTTACCATGGTCTTCATTCTTTACTACTCAATAAAGATGATCAAATTATTTACTATTTACTAAGCTTCTAGTAGATAAATAACATGAGACAGGTGGGATTAGGATTCATAACTAAAAACAAAGGGTTTTAGGGGATCTAATCCCCTTGACTTCATCATGTATGTGCTGTACAAGCATCTTTTCTGGGGAAAAGAACCATGGCTTTTAGTAGATTCTCAAGAGTCTATGCTACCAAAAAGTCAAAAACCACTATTTAAGGATTTGGCTATATACACATAATACACAAATGCACATAAAGGCAGATGGCAAAAAGAAAATGAGTTATTTGCCCATGTGTTCAGGAAAATTTAGCCTCACAAACACGTCAGAATTCATGGAGGATACCAAGGTGCTAATATTCCTGAGACAAAAGGGAAACAAACTCTCTGAGAAGGTAACACAGGCTGAAGGTGTGTGTGTGTGTGTGTGTGTGTGTGTGTGTGTGTGTCCCGCCTTCACCTGCTGCTGGAGGACGTAGAGCGTCCGGGCAGAGCGAACAGCCTGCTCCTGCCTCCTGACCCGGATTCGCCGTTCTTCATCTGGATCCAAAGCTTCTTCCATTTTATCTGAAAATACCCCATCCCCCGAAGTGGGTTATAAACCAAACATAAAAACTTTAAAAAATTTCAGTTACTCAGAGATAATGAAGTTGAAGATCTCTATTTTAAGAAGAAAAATGAAGCTGTAGTAACAACAAATGTCATTTTTCATCAGCCAAGCAATCAGGAATAAGGGGGCCTCTGTACCGACAGAGATGGAAGGGCCATGATGACATTACCAAGGTCAAGTTCCCTCTAAGCAGGGATTCCTTGAAACAAACTCCACTGGACAGCCTACTCCACTGTGAGGTACCTTTTACTAGTTTAAAATTCTTTGTATTGAGCCAAAATCTATAATGGTTTCTACTTTCTCAAAAATACTTGAATGGCCCATTTCTGTTTTTAAAGATTTCTTCCTTTCTCCAACATATGAAGATTACATGACTTCACATATTTGTTAGGAACCCTGCCTCGCATACACTGTGTACCCCATTTTCAAAAGGTTAGTTCAAAGGAAGTGTTCCTGGAAGACTAACTAAGGGATGTACAACTCATCCACTCCTTTCCAGTAGGTGGTTTTCAAATATGTCTACAACACAAATTCTTAGGCAAAATTCCATTAAACCATCAGACAGAAGCAGTGCTCTGTAAATATATTTTATCGATTCAAATTTTTCTTATTTACTCATTAAAAACTAGTGAAAGTACTTTTGAAAAAAAATCGAACATTTGAAATCAAGGGCTTGTAGATACAGATAGAGTCTCTGCGCTTACAAGCCAAACTGTTTCTCTCTTGTTGGGCTGTACAGAGAAACTCTGGGTTCACATAGTTATACTAGAGGCCCGGTGCATGGATTCGTGCACCCTGAAAGGAAATTAATTAGAAGGTGGCCAGCAGGGCAGACATGCCCTGGAGCCAACCTCCTGTGGTCCCTTCCCGGCCAGCTGCACCTGGGGTGGTATCTGTGGAGTGAGCAGGGTCCCTCTGGCAGGTGGGGTCCCTTGGGCTGGCCTGTGGGGATCGGGCTGAAACCGGCAGTCCGACATCCCCCAAGGGGCCCTGGAATGCAGTAGGGCACTCTGCAAAGTTGCTGTCAATCGGCAGCTCCTGCATTGAGCATCTGCCCCCTGGTGGTCAGTGTGCGTCAGAGCTGACCAGTCAGCCCATCACTTAGGCTTTTATATATATAGATGTCAATGGTAACTGGCTCAGGCACAGTTTTTAACTGTTCCTCTTACAAATGATTCTCTTTTTTTCTTTTTTATTGAATTTATTTGGATGACATCCTATATAATAACAGGCTAATATGCAAATCGACCAAACAGCAGAATGACAGGTCACTATGACATGCACTGACCACCAGGGGGCAGAAGCTCAATGCAGGAGCTGTCCCCTGGTGGTCAGTGTGCTCCCACAGGGAGAGGGCCACTCAGCCAGAAACCAGGCTCATGGCTGGCTAGCACAGCAGTGGTGGAAGGAACCTCTCTCATCTCCACAGCAGCACTAAGCCATTAGTCAGACATCCCCTAAGGGCTCCAGGACTGAGAGGGTGCAGCCCAGGGTGGGGGATACCCCCACCCCAGTGCATGAATTTCATACACAGAGCCTCGAGCCTCTAGTAGCGCGCTCTCTCTATTTATATATATATGTGTACATATATGTGTGTGTGTGTGTGTGTGTGTGTATATATATATATACACATATATATTGTGTATATATATATATATATATAATGCTAATAAGCAAATAGACCGAATAACAGAACAACAAAGCAACCAATCAGTTGCTATGATGTGCGCTGATCACCAGGGGGCATGCACGGAACATGGCAGGCATCGACCATGGTGGGAGGGTGAGCAGGGGCGCCAGACCAAAGTGTGTGCCAGTCACTGTCATCAGGGCAAGCCTCTGGTGGTTACTAAAAATTCTTTGCTCCCACACACCATGGTCCTGCCGGGCGCTTGCACCTGCTGCCGGCACCACACCTGCTGCTGGTGATGGCCTCACTCAAACCTGCTACGGGAGCCACTGCTTGCACCCACTGCCAGTGCCAGCCCCACTCACTGCTGGCACCGGCCCCAATCACTCCGCACCATCAGCAGGTTCAAGCAAAGCTGGCGGGAGTGGGGCTGCCAGCAGACGGGACCAGGGAACATGGTGGGAGGGGCCAGGTGGGGGTGTGGAGGATGGGCCGAGACCCGCTTCGTACCCACTACAGCCTCGCAGCCCACAGTTCCTTTCAAGGTGCACAAATTTGTGTACTGGGCCCCTAGCTGGTTAATAAAATTGTACAATTCTATAATGCATCATTGCCTCTAACCCCTCTGCCTGCCTGCCTGGTTGTCCCTAACCCCTCTGTCTGCCTTCCTGATTGCCCCTAACTGCCATCCCCTGCCAGCCTGATCTCACTCCCAATTGCCCTCCCCTGCTGGCCTGATCTCACCCCCAACTACCCTCCCCTACTAGCCTGGTTGCACCCAACTGCCCTCCCCTACCAATCTGATATCGCCCCCAATGGCCCTCCCCTGCCAGCCTGGGTGCAGTGAACAGGCTTTCCCTATAGGCCTAGTTGCCCCAACTGCCCTCTCCTGCAGGCTGGATTTTGCCGCCAACAGCCCTCCCTTGCCAGCTTGATCTCCCCAAATACCTTCCCCTGCTGGCCTGGTTGCCCCAACTGCCCTCCCCTACAGGCCAATTTGGTTCAAATTGGTCGATTTCTATGCCAGTCAGTATCAAAAGCTCTGCCTCCTAGGCAGCCACTGGCTCCTCACAGTTCACCCAGATTTGGTTCTGATTGGTTGATTTCTATGACAGTCAGCATCTCCAGGCCTAATCAGTGGCAGGGCTCATCAGCACGCCCTTGTGGAGGCCCAGAGAGGAAGAGAGAGGCAACGCTGATCAACAGCTGCCATGGAGGCTGTGGATCAGACCCTGCCTCTCTCTCCGGGCCTGATCCATAGCCTCCTCGGCAGTCAGTGCTGAGTGACTGCAGGATGACTTCTGGTGTTCAGTTAAGCCTTTGGTTTTTATATATTAGAATGCTACTGTTGTGATTCTTATTCAAGTTTATAAAGTACTACATGAGACACACTGACATTTTTAACTTTAAAAAATGTCACAAAAAAACCCACTCCAGTCCTTCCCCACTATGAGTTTGTGAGCATCTGCTCGAAAGGTACTCCTGTATTAAGCCCCATCATCAGAGCAGTGGGCCCTGTGACTTTTCTTGCCTGGGCACATGGCTTCTAACAAAGTACGCCATAGGGTCATGCCACAGGCTGACACTGAAGAAATGTTGTAAGAAATGAATCTTAATATTCCCATTACTTTGACATAGGAATGCTTTTAATTGTTCAGTATATCACAACATACCCTTTTTTGAAGGCCCACAGGACAAATTCTTTTCTGCCCTCAATATGTTCAATAGTTATTTTCCTTACACAATTATTTTTTCTGTTTTAGACTTTGTAAATTCTGCAACTGATCACATTTTCCTTAGCTGGCTGCTAGGAACTCAGAAACAAATCTGTAACCCATCCCTAACAAACCCTAATTTTTCCTATATCACAATATCATTTACATGTGCGTTCTAGCTTGTTCAACCACAGGCATTTCTGTAAGGCACCTTAAATTCCTCATGTCACACACATATATGTACATAAGCATATATACATTGCATGTATATGTACACCAGCATATATACATTACGCGTATACATATATCACTGTATATAAATTACACATATGTGTACATAAGCCTATATACATCACACGTATATGTACATCAGTGCATATACATTAAGTTAAATGCCAAAGATTATCACAGGCTAGGTACTATCCCAGCACAGGAGTCCATGTGATGCTCAACTCTTTGCAGCCTGAGCAGGATTCCCTACTTGTTAGCTATGTAACTCTCAATTTTCCAAATAGCATCAATGCTCTACTCCCCACGGAAACAAGGACATGAGAACACTAAAGAAACTATAGCAAACAGACACCTTCCTTTCTACCCTGCGGTCAGATATTTACTTATATATCCACCATTTCCGTTGTCACTGCTATGTACTCATCTAAATGTTCTCTAAATTGAAACATTTTCATTGAAAATGTACATACACTATGTTCCTTTTTGAACAAATTAAAAATAATTTTGTCAGAAGGACTTCTGGTTAAAGAAGCAAACTATTATAGGATGATGTGCAATCTGGTGCCAGAACACCTAAGGTTGGGCCTTTGGTCAGTCGATGACCAAGTGCAGAATCAGGAAAGGAGCTGTGTCACCTGACTCTGATGGAGGGAGGGGCTAGGACAGGAAAAACTCTTCAGAAAAAAGACACTGGTCAAACTCAAAGTCCACCTGTCTGGTCATGAGTGCTTGCTCTAGTGACAGGAGGTGGGAATGGAGTTTGATGGGCGGTGGGGGTCGCAAAAGAATGTATATGAACTATTTCCACTCTCACCAATTTTTCTCACCTTTTGTTACTTCTTCGATTTTATGGATACAATTGTTCAATATTTTCTGGAGTCGCTGAACTTCTAGCAGGCTTCTGTGTTCGCATAGGCTTTTGTGGTCACCTGTCCTGCCATGAGGCCGCAGTCCTGGGTCATGGGTGGGTGGCGAATTTGGCATGGTCAAATCTGACTGTCCTGCATGAGATGTGTATACGTATACCTTGGCACCTGAGCTGGAAATTTCTACTTTGGGTGGCTGGTGGCGGCAATGAAAAGCTTCTTTCATTTCCTTCCTTTCCACCCCAAGGTCAGATTTCGTATGCTTGGTGCATCCACATTTCTGAGAGATTTGGGATTGACTTGTGAGATGGTATTTTTTTACATGTTCTTCAAAGTGTCTTCGTTTAATATCTCTTTTGGCAAGGTGGACAGCATAGCTAAGTCTCTCTTCTGATACGACAGAAAATGAAACAGACCTGCTTAGATCAGGACCATCTCCAAAATCCAAATCTTTATAGTGGTCTGACTCAGTGTGGGAGTGCTTCAGTTTTTCTATTTTAATTGCATGTGGGTAAGAATACCGGATTGCTAAGTTGCTTGACTGTGTAGGAACATTCGTATTAAATTGCAGCTGGTTCTTTAAAACAAAATAAAAGTAAGCAGACATTAGAAAAATAATATGTTACATAGTTAGTATTTGTCCAAAACCAAGTTTTTAAGATTTTACACATTAGTGCTAAGAGGTATTTTTATTTTATAATGATTGAATTGTCCACTCTCTTACACTCTGAATTCGTCACTTATCCCTGGTTCTACCCTCCATTCACTCAGACCCACAGTATTATCCTTCTGTTACAGGGACTCACCAGCAGACCCTGAGCAACAGATGAATGATTACTCTGGCACCCATTTCTGGAAAAAGAGGGGTAAGGGGCTGCCTGGAAAGAGGCATCAGACTGCCTTGTTTGCTTGCCTCCTTAGGCTTTTATTGTAACAACATCTTGAACTGAAATTAACCTCTAGATACAATCAGCAATGTATCTTAAAGAAAACACATGCTTCTATAAGGTCATGTCTAAAGACTAAACATAGAGATCCCAGTAAAACACCCAGGGGCTCGGACTTGTTTGGAAAAGTCAAGGCAGAGGCTGTTGCTTTAAGGCAAGGTCCCCCTAGAGGCCCTTGACCGTTTGGAGAATCCTCCTTACAGACTTTCCAATCAAGTCCTGTGCTTCCCCACACCCTGTTACTAATACATCAATGGTATGTATGCTTCTAAATGCCAACCCAGAAAGTTTCAAGAAACCATCAGTAAGTTCTTCAACTCTCCAATTCTGGACTTTTGTCCTGTTTCAAAATATCAGGTTCCAGCAAGTGACCAATAAAATCCATCATGAGCATTTCCCAAAACTGCTCCCAGCCACGCCACCCACCACACAGGACCTAAGCCATTTGACAGTATCTCTTCAGGTCTTCCTGAGACTTTTCATCTGGTGGTTAGACCACATCTTTTATCCTGCACCTAAGTTCATCTTGCTCTAAACAGTCCACTTATAACTTTCTCATTCAGACTTAAGCTTTATTCATTTTAATCATAATAGATACAAGTTGTTTGTTTTTCACCTATCATAGTCATGTTTCCATATTGTCATAGTTTTCAGTATCATTTTGATGTTAATATCATTTAATGTGAATTTGATCACTGTATTATGATTATATAAGAAAAGGCCTTGTTTTTAGAAAACACACAATTACTTAGTAAAATGGCATCATGTCTGCAACTTGCTCTTATTCAGTTTAGAAATAATGTGGGGGGAGGAGAAAAAGACAAGGAAGAAGAGAGGGAAAATGTAACAAAATGTTAGTATTTCGGAAATCTAGGAGAAGAGTATCCAGGAATTCTGTGTTCTGTTCTTACAACTCTTATGTAAGTCTGAAATTATGTCAAAATTAAAAATATTTTTCTTGCCCTAGCCAATTTGGCTCAATGGATAGAGAACTGGCCCACAGACTGAAGGGTCTTGGATTCATTCCGATCAAGGGCACGTACATTGGTTGCAGGCTCGATCCCTGGCCCTAGAAGGGGCACATGAGGAAGGCGACCAATTGATGTGTCTCTCTCACATGGATGTTTCTCTCTGTGTATCTCTTCTTCCCGCTTCCACTCTAAGAAACAATGAAAAAATATCCTCAGGTGAGGATTTACATAAAACATATAAATATGGGTTTTTTTCTTTGTAAACCACAATGAGGTATTTCTACATACCCACCAGATTGGCTATAATTTAAAAAATAATACCAACTGTTGGCAAAGATGTGGAGAAACTGAAGGGCTCTTATTCATTGTTAGTAGGAATGTAAAATGGTAAAACCACTTTGGAAAAGGTCTGTTGGTTTGTTATAAAAATAAATATACACCTATCCAATGACCAAGTGATTTCACTTCTAGGTATTTACCCAAGAGGAATAAAAACATGTTTACAAAGAAATCTGTATAAGAATGTCTATAACACCTTCATTTATAATAACCTGAACGAGAAGCAGCCCATGTGTCCACCAGTTGCAGAATGGATAAACAAACTGGCACACTCCTGCTCTGGAATACTCAGTATTAAAAAGGAACAAACTGACACATGCAACACACAGATGAATCTTAAATACATTGTACCCAGTGGAAAAAATTCTTCCACAAAAGAGTACATAGCGTAGGATTCCCTTTATATGAAGTTCTAAAACTGACAAAACTAACTGTGGTGGAAAAAAGTCAGAATAGTGGTTGCCTCTGGAGGGAAGGGCGGGGTTGACTAGGAAAGGGCAGAAGAGAACCTTTTGGATAGTGGACATGATCTGAATCTTGAAAGAGGCATAGGTCACACTGGTGTACACATCTGTCAAAACTCAGCAAACGTGAATGAATATATTCATTTCAGATGTAAAATTTACATGAAAAGAAAAAATGGTAAAGAATGAATTCTAGTATATGTTATGCATGCTGAATTAGCTAGAGTACCGGTATCTGAAATTTACTTTGACATGTCAAAAAGTAAGTTGGGTTGATGAATGGATCCTAGAAAGATGGACTGAAGAAAAGATATGCAATTAAAAAATACAGTGAAATAGTAATGGAATCTTGATGTTCACTGTGAAATTTAACTTTGCTGTGTGTTTGTAATACGACGTTGGAAGTAAAAACATTTTGGGAACAACTGGGTGATGTTCAATGAAGACTGGTTATTGGGTAATCTTAGGGAAGTTTTTTTTTGTCAATTTCTTAGGTTTGATAATGGTATCATGGTTAAATAGGAGAGATTATTTTTAGGATTAGTATTCTAAAATATTTAGAAGCAAAATGTCATATCTGCATCTTACTCCGAAGTGGTTCTGCATTTTAGAGATAGTTAGAGAGAAAACCAGGTAGGACAAATTGTTACAACTGTTGAAACTAGAAGGATTCAAAAGAGGTTCTTACCGTTTCTTTCAACTTTAATGCTTGAAATGTTTCATAATAAAAATATGAAGGGGAAAGAAAATCACAACTACCTGGGTCTGAGGTCTCCAGGGGTCACTCCTCCCATCTAGTTGGACACTAGACGCGTGATTAACACAAGTTGAAGCTGGTCTGCCTGGTCCCATCATGTCAGAGAGCGCAGAACAATAGTGAAAGCCTAGTTATCAGCCAACAGTTCTTCCCCAAAAACGTTGCCTAAAATAAAAGAAAGCTACTTTCAGACCAAGAGACTTCAAAAGGAAAGAATAAGTGAAACACAATATCATACTCTTATAACTATGTTCTAGTAGTCCATAGCAACCTCACACTAGAGAGCAAATGATATATGAAGATAGGTATATGATAGCTCCTTCCAGTTACAAAAGCATTGAATTTAGACTTTCCCAAGAGAAGAGGGAGACACACTATTTTAATGGCAATCTCTAGAGCCCTTTTCATTCCAAATTTCCAATCTCTAGGGTCTCTAATAAGATATTACTACAAAAACAGACTTCCACTATGGTCAACAAGCACTTCCCAGCAGGGCATTTTATGGACACGTGTTCTACATTAATAAATCCCAACCACTAGTCAAAAGGTAGTCCCACTTACTCTACTAGGTGGCTCAAAAGGACATAACTGAATGACTCTAAGTAAACCTCAGGGTAAGAATATCGAGATTTATGCCAGGATCTGCCATTAACCACCTGAATGACCTCTCCACATCTTCACTTTTCCCGTCTCCCCCCACTCTATACACACACAGCGGAGATAAAAGATAGGACAGTGTTAAGCTTTGTGGTAAGTGTTATGGGCTCTACTCATTATCACTGAAGGCCTCCTTATAGACCTGTCATTGTCCCTGCACTCATCATGTGCTTATTACACACTTGTCTCACGTTGTTATTTACCTATTTCACAGGTTTATGTCTCATCTTCCCAGCTAGACAAGGTTTCTTGAGGGTAAGGGCCTTGTCTTGCTCTTCTCTGATATTTCCCACAATAAGTGCTTTGAGCATAGTAGACAATTTAACTCAACATTAGTTGAATTAAGCTGATTTTCCATAAACAGACTAGTGTTAAATGGAGAATTTGTTCTCTCAAAGAATCCCATAGTAAATCAACTAGGAAATGCAGGTTAAAAAAAAAAAAAAATCCCTAATTTAAGCTTCTGAATAAACCCAACATTTGTAGACTGGACTTGCTTAAAGACAGATACATGTGAAGGAACATAAAGGCAGCTGTCCAAGATTCCTTATTTCTAAGGCTGTAGAGACAAGATACAAAACGAAGATGGGAGGAGGTACATGGACGAGGAATCCCAACTGGCTTGGTATCACCACAGTTCAGGGGCTGGAGCCACACAATGAAGGAGTCTGAGAATTGGGGCCAGGGTGACTGCAACTTTTATGTGGTCTACACCTTCCCCCGAGATGCATCAGGCCTAATAATCCTTTCTCTACCAGGAAAAAGCTAGGTGATGCCCACAGTTCCCCGATACCTCGAGTGATCACACACACACACACACACACACACACACACATGCACACACTGTTCCCCTGTACAAAGTCCTGGGACCCCTTTCTCCTTGCAATCTGTCCCTTTCCAATTGCTCCAGGAAATCTCCCAATTTGTTACCCCACATACTGTGGGACTTCTCCACACAGTATCTCCTCCCTCCCCCATCCTGAGACACCTCTACATCCTGTAACTTCATCCACAACCCAGGACAAATCTCCCCCACACTGTTCCCTCCCAAAGAGTCCCAGGACCCCTCAACTTGTTCCCTACTTTTACAGGAATGCTCCCCTCAATCTGTCCTCCCCCACACAATTTTCTCCCCAAGTGTCCCCCCTCACTCTCATTCCAGACACTCCTCCAGTCTGTCTCCTCCCCCTCTGCGGTGGGTGATCTCGGGAGCGGCCAATGCCCACGTCCTCCCTTGAAACCCAGGACACGTCCACAGCTTCATTCACCTCCCCAGTCGTTCTTGTCCCCGACACTCCCGGCACATCCTCACAGTCTGCCTCTCCCCCCACAGACCCTGGGCAGCTCCACGACCTGGTCCCACGCCCATGGGTGTAAGACACCCCCGCTGCCTGGCTCCCCCCTGCCAGCCCCAGGATGCTGCCACCTCCCATCTCCTCCCCTGAAGCCCCAGGTCCCTGTGCAGACTGTCTGGTCCCCACGGTGAGGCCGGAGCCAGCAGCAGTGGCTTCTTCTCCTGCAGACCCAGACACCCACACGGCAGCAGGCACGTGCCCCGCCACGGGAACGCCTACGCCCGCAAGCACCCCCAAAGACAGAGGCACCCTCACAGCCTCGGGGACCACTGCCGTGGGCCTCCTCCACAGGCCTGGCACACCTTCGCAGCCAGTCTCCCTGCCCACAGGTCCCGATGCCCGGGCGGCAGCGGGCCTCTCCAGTGCCAGCCTCCTTCCCCAGGCACCGGTGACATCCCCAGCGCCAGTGTCACCCACCACCAGCCCCGAAGCGCCAGCAGCTGTGGGCACGCCCACAGCCATGGAGACCTTAGTAGCCACGGGCATATCCGCTGTCTGTCTTCTTCCCGGTAAGCCCAAGAGGCCCCCAGGGAGGGTCTCCTCCTCCACAGGCCCAGGTAACCCCACAGTCACAGGTACCCCCGCCGTCTGTCTCCTTCCCGGCAAGGGTGAGAAGCCTCCAGAGCCAGTCTCCACGCCCAGAGGACAGGGCACCCTGGGAGCAGCGGGCACCTCAACAGACACAGGAACCCTGGCACTCTGTCCCCTTCCCCAAGATCTTGGGACACCCCCAGAGCCAGTCTCTCCCCCTGCAAGCCCAGGCACCTCAGGAGCTACAGCAACCTTGTCAGCCACCGGTCCCCTTCCCCACAACCTGGGGAAAGCCGCGGACCCAGCATCCTCCCTCGCAGCCGCCAGGTCCTCAGAAGCCACAGGGACCCCAGAAGCCAGGGGTGTCCCGGCAGTGTGGGCGCCTCCCCACAGGTTCAAGACATCTCTAGCGCTGACCTCCGGACACACAGGGCCCGACACCCACACAGCGGCAGGCACCCTCGCAGGTCCAGGCACTCCGGGAGCTGCGGGGGCCCCCGTGGGGGCACACCTGTGCCTGGGCACGCCCGAGGCCTCGGACACCCCCACCATCTCAGACAAGCCCGCAGCCTGCCTCCTGCACAGACACAAAGCGTCTCTGTAGCCGGCCTCCTGGTCCACACAGCCAGGTACCCCTAAAGCTGTGGGCACCAGAGCCTCCTGCTCCCCCGCAGGCTGCCTCCTTTCCCATAGACTCGGAACATCATCACAGCATGTCTCCTCCCCGACCGCCCCTGGCACGGCATCAGCCAGGGGCACCCCCAGCGCCTGCGGCCTGTCCCACAGGCCTGGGATGCCCCCGTAACGTGTCTGTTCCCCTATGGCCCCTGGCACCACCCCAGCCTGGGACACACCCACAGGCTGGTATGTTCCCCACAGGCCTGGCACTGCCCCACAGCCTGCCTCCTTCCCCAAAGCCCGAGGTCCTCCTGGGGCCTGTCCTACCCGCCAAAGGCCTGGTGCTGCCCTGGGGCCTGCCTCCTGCCCCTCAGGACCAGACACCCCCACCGTCTGGGCTACTTCCCAGGACCCTGGGCCACCTGCAGAGCCCGTCTCTACCCACAGGGCCTGTCCCCTCTCCCTGAATCCCGGGTCTCCGCCACATCTGGCTTCCTCTTCAGCAGCACAAGGCACACCTACAGGCTGTCTGGACACCCACAGGTCAGGAACACCCCCAGGGCCTGCCTCCTCCAGGGCTTGTCTCCTCTGCCACACGCCAGGAGCACCCACAGGGGGAGTTTCCTCCACAGCTCTGGGTACCCCCACAGCCTGTCCCCGCCCCCAGAAGGTATCCCCAGAGACTGCCTCCTGTACCAGAGCGCCGGGCACCGGTCCTGGCTGCCCTCTCCCCCACAGACCCGGAGTAACCCCACGGCCTACCTCTCCCTCTACAGCCTCAGCCCACCCCACGGCCCCAGGCACCCCCATAACCTGTCCTTTTCCCCAAGGGCCTGGGGCAACCTCACAGCTTATCTCCTCCACAGTTCCAGGCACCCCCATAGCCTGTCCTCTCCCCAGCGGGTGTGGGGCAACCCCAGAGCTTGTCTCCACAGCCCCCGGCACACCCGCAGGAGACAACCTCACGGCCTGCCCCAGCCCACGCAAGCCCGAGGGCCTCTCACATCCTGCTCCTAGGCCAGCAGCTGTGGGTCCTCCTGAGGCCTGGGGCCCTGCCCTAACCTGTCCTTCCACCCACGGTCCGGTGAGACCACGGCGGCTGGTCTCTACCCACGAAGCTCGGCCAGGCACACCCCTTTCCACCGGCCCTAGTCCTGCAGGCACAGGGTGGAGCTCCACGCGGCTTCCTTCCCCACATCCCGAGGCTGCCCTCCTGGCCTGCACCCTCAGCCACAGCTCCAGGATGCTCTCGTGCCCCGTCGATCCCGGGCGGCCCTTCCTCTCACTGCCCCGCGGGCTCCGGTGGGCTGGCTGCTCCTCGTCCCCGGTGCCCGTCACCCACACAGCCCCGGCAGGCCCCACCAGCTGGGGCTGCCCCGCCGCCCCGTTCACCAGCACGGCCCCGGGGGCCTCTGCGGCCTCAGTGGAGCCCGCAGTGCCCGGGGTCCTGGAAGCCTCGTTCGCCCCAGGGCCCTCGCCTGTCTCCGCCGCTCCTCTGCCCCCAGACGGCCGCCGACAACCCTGCGGCTCCTCCGCACTCACACAGCGGGCCCCCCACACCGAGGCCCTCGCCCGGCGCCTTCCTCCTCGCACCCGGGCCACCCCAGGCCATTTCTTCCCCCTGGGCCGCCGGGCTCTGCGCCCCGGCCGGCTGGGCCCCGCACAGCGGCCCGGCATCGCCGTGCTCGCCCGCCCCCAGCAGCCCGGCCAAGGCCCCGGCCGGCGCCTGGCTCAGGGCTCGAGGGCAGTTCCCATCTCCCCCGATGCGGCCTGGGCACCTGGCCCGGGCGGCACACTCGCACTCACAGCCAATCCAACCTCGCAGCCTGACTTCCTCCCAGCCCCCCGCCCCGTGCCCCCGCTCGCCCTCCCTTCAGCCCTGGCCCCACCCTAAAGCCTAGGCAGGAAAACAGTCAAAGGGGGCGACGAGCAGCAGTATCTGCCCTGAGTCAAGCTCTCCTCTCCCCCAGGCCCAGGACTCCTAATGCAGCTCCCCAGGATCCCCCAACACCGCGGGTGCCCACCCGGCCTGAGGCGGCGAGGCGCGGCTACTGGGAAGCAGGCTGGGGGGTGGGGCTGGGGGATAGGGGGACCGCAATGAGGCCTGGTTTCCGGCCGCTCGCCGGGTCCCCATGGCAACGGGAGCAGGGCGGTTTGGGAGCCGTTAGGACTCGAGAGCCACCTAAGGATCCCAGGGCTGCGCGGCAGCAGGTTTTGCAGCCATTGTATACGGGGCTGGGGCCGAGAGCAGATGAGAAAAGAAGCCAGGGTTTCGGAATGGGGCCAGAACGGGAAAACCGAAGAAACGAGAGCAGAAAGGCGGTACGGATGAGTTATGGCCCTTAGAGGCCCCCGTAGCCCCCCCTCTCCAAGCCTTCTAGGCTCCTGCAGGCACCAGGTGCTCGGCCCACCCGGAAGCAGGTTCGCCCCGCCCCACGTGGGCCCCGCCTCTGGGCAGTCCCACCCGAAGCCTTCCCCGGGCTATCTTCGGTTCCGGAGTGCGTTCCCCATGGCTCCTTACTTGGAGGTGATGGTGTCCGGCTTCGAGGACTTCAACCGGGCTGTGGAGCAGCACAAAGGCAAGACCATTTTCGCCTACTTCACCGGTTCTAAGGACGCCGAAGGAAAAAGCTGGTGCCCTGACTGCGTCGAGGGTGAGACCGGGGTTCGGTGCTCAAAGGAAGTGGCAGGAAGTCCAGGCCGAGATTCTGGCCGGAGAGCAGAGTTCATGGCAGAGGAAGGAGTTTTACTCCTGGAGATCCGCAGAGCTTTCTAAGCTGGCATCTTGCCTCCTTGTCCCACCTTGTTCCGTTTTCTCCCATTAAGTGCACCCCCGCCCCAAGAGTGCCTTCTACCATTCGACCCATATAATCTTGAAATCCAATCCTTTACAGTTTTTCACTTCCTCAGTATAACTAGCCTCTTAGTGATGACGTGAGTTGATGTCCTTTGCATAGGTCAGCAAATATGCATTTCATTCTTTTGGGCGTTGGGACTAGGGCGTAGTTACCCTTAAAGTGGCTTTCAAATTAGTTAACTGCAATTTAGGTCTGAGTTCTTAGCAACATGAGGGGAGGGGAGAGGGATACTGTTTATCAGGGCCTGATTGTAGAGTTAATGTGTTATTATTTTATATCAACCTTTTTTTTAAAGCTGAACCAGTCGTACGAGAGGGGCTGAAGCATATTTGTGAAGAATGTGTGTTCATCTACTGCCAAGTAGGAGAAAAACCTTAGTAAGTGGCAATATATACTCTATCTCCCAGATATGCACTGCACTTATTTCAAACAGATGGGAAGGGCCCCGGGACTCCGGTTCTATGTCTAAGATACAGTCAGATGATTGAAGCAATTAGAAGATATTAAATACAAATCAAAATTTTGAATGTTCAGCCACTTGTATTAGAAGGACAACTCAATAAATTTTGTCTGGTGTTAGTTCAGAACTTAATTGTCTTTATATACATATCTTAATCACACTTTAAATGAAACTTACACAGGGGAAAAAGTCACAGTCCTTAAGGTTTTTTAAATGTCTACAACAAAAACAATGATTACTAAAAAAAACGAAATGTAGGGATATATCAAATATTAAACAAATATAAGAAACATAGTAAAATGTTTTTCATGTCACTTTTTCTTTGCAAAATAGTTGGAAAGATCCAAATAATGACTTCAGAACAAACTTGAAAATAACTGCAGTGCCTACGCTCCTTAAATATGGAACAGTGAGTATCTTTCTTCAACTATGTTGGGGCTACAATTTACCCTGTCAAAACTCTCTTAACTCATTCTGGACTCGTATATGGAAAGGTTTTGACATTTCATCCAAACATCACAGTGCTGTTCAGAGTGCATTTGTCCATCCCCTATGGACAATCCCAGTAAACTATTAGTAATGTAAACATCTAAATATTACATCTTTTTCATACTTTTTAAAAAAAGTTATTAATTTAAAATTCTTTAAACACTGCTCAAGTAAGTTGATTTACACATGGTTTCTTAAGCACTGGCATCAATGGCAGCTTGCCCGTTAACCCATAATTCTGTCTGAAAAGGAAGGGAACTTACAGTCATCACTCTGGGATTCTAAATTAAAGAACTGAGGGTAAGGGGATGGCACTGGGCTTGCTGTCTCCTGTTTTAGTCTAAGTTTTGAGCCAAGTATTTTAATGACTGAACTTAAGAGCAGATATCTTAAGTGTTTCATAAAACTTGTTACAACTAGTTAATAGTGTCTCAATGGCCAACTCTATCCCCTCCTAATAACATTTTTATAGTTGTGGGTTATGATTTGACTGTTCTTCTCTTACAGCCACAAAAACTGGTAGAATCTGAATGTCTTCAGGCTGACCTCGTGGAGATGTTGTTCTCTGAAGATTAAAATTTGATTATGACAATTGTGTCTTGATTTCCTGATTTATTCTAGTATAAATGAAATTGCATGCTTGCTTTGAATTCATGGTAAGCCTAAATAAATAAGCAATGATTTTTAAAAATGGTATGTCTAAACAATAGAGTGCTATAAAAATACTCATGAACCCTGTTTGTTTGTAATATATGGATATCTTTAAGATAAGGTAACATAAGTCTTTAGGAGTGGTAGTAATAGCACAAAGGAATGTGTTACTGGAGGTAATAGGAATATCTGAAAGCCCCTAAAAGGAATTTGCTTCCAAATCTCTGAATTTTAGATCTTTTAACTTAAATTCCATGAATTTACAAAGAACTTTTTTAAAACACCTTTTTTGGCTTTAGAATGCAGAACTTAAGCTAACCACAGCACAGCACATCTAATCCAGCCCCTACTTCAGTGTTTCCCAAAGTGTGGTAGGCGTACCCCCAGGGGTACGGGAAGAGTTTGGTGGGGGTACGCGTTGCACTGGAGTTTGGTGGGGGTATGCACTGCACCGTGCTTAGCTGCGCCTAATTCTACGTTCTCATGAGTACAAGGGGTACTCAGTGTTACAAAAATTATAGAAGGGGTACACATATGTCAAAAGTTTGAGAAACACTGCCCTACTTCATACAGGCAGCTTTGTTTCAAACTAACTGAATGTACTTCACTACTTGTATGAGGCAGGTGGCCTGGCGGTAGAAAGGATTCCACTTGTGCTCAGTCACACTCTGATTACCACTTACTAGCAGTGTCACCATAGGCAAGTTACTTCATCTGCCTAAGCCTCAGTCTGCTTCTGAACAAAGATTGTTCTAAGAATGACATGAAAATGCAACTAAGCACTAACAGTGGTGGTTTGTGGTGTCTGCCAAATAAATGTTAGCTTTACCAAATGAGCACAAGTATTTGAAATTCCTCATCTTTGTTCTAGTCTAAGGCCAAGTCCAATTAGTTAACTATCAATCTCCCTGCCATCACTAGGTCAGCGACATAGCAATGATTCTTCCATTAAAGCTCTTTGCAAAGCAATCAGTGATACAGGTATGTCCTCTTCTGCAGAATGTAAAAAACCTTGCACTGCTCCAGCTCTGGGATCTAAAGAGGTCGCTGTCTATTCCTTATGTAGGTGGAGATAAGGAACAGTCAGTGGCTCCACTATCTACAATAGATAAGAAGGGTAGGGCAGCTGATCTGAGGGACAGGAAGGTCCCAGGAGATGGACTCCCCAGTCCCCACTGTAGGTACAGAGCCTGACTGATTCAGGATGTTCGGTGGCCCGCCCTCTGCCCCATCCTCACTGCCTCCTTAAGTTGGTCTAAAGCACCAAATGTTTCTGTCCTTACTCAGTTGAGTGTGTTAAATACTAATAAAAATGTACAAATCCAGAGAAAATCAAAGAACAGTTTTGGCTTAACAGAAATAATCTACTGACAATAAAAAGTTAACCTGGATTAAATAGCACAGTAAAGGTACTAAGTGCTAGCACAAGAAAGTAGGTAAGATGAGTCTTTTTTTTTTTTTTTTTGGTCTTCACTATACAGAAGCAACATATACAGTCCTAGGAGTCGGTCTGGATCCAGTGTTTCACTTTCCTGAGGTGTTATTTTGCTGCTGCTGCTCTGCCAGGGCTTGCTGAAGGCGCATCCGCTTCCGGGAATAGTGCTGCCAGTGCAGGATTTGCTGCTCATCGATAAATTTCGCACACTGAGCATTCACCAGCTCCTTGCGGAAGTGTTCGTACTGGAGCAGTTCTAACATGTGTAAACACTGAGGGTACCTGGGTTTAAGTTTATCAATTAATGATTGGCATAACTTAAGTCAATAACTCCAAGCTCTAATTCAGTTATTCATGTACAAATGATCTTGCAGCTACATTTTCTGTACTGTTAACTTAGAACACTTTAGTAGCATAGTTTTTTGTTTTGTTTTTTTCCTGCTCAGGCAAAGAAACTAGTGATCAAAAGTCAGAATTAAGCAAAATTTTCAGAAGTGAGAAAATAAGATCAGAAAGATTAAGTAACTTGCCCACGACCACACAATAACTGGTAAGCAGAGTCAACATTTGGGGGAAAATCAAGTTAATCTACTCTGGTGGTTTCCAAGTGAGGAGTAGGAACGCTTTTAATTTTAAGTAATTATGTGTTTAATTGATAACTACTGGTTTTCCATCAATAATGATAGAGACAGAGTCAATTTCAGAAAGAACTTATGCACAAATATTATACTCTAGTTTTCCATGTGGATATGAAATTCTGAAATTATATATACTCTAAGACTGAGCAAAGACATAAGCAAATATACTGTGGATAAAGAGTCAAACTTCTGGCTATCATAAAAAACATGAGGAAACGGAAAAGGCAAGAATGAACCCCATTTTTGAGCAGGAATTGAAAACAGCAGTATGAACTCATGACTTTTTACCAGAAACGGAGCCAGACACAGATATGTGTTCTTTCTGTGCCGAGAAGACCTGGGAACAATGACACTGTGGTACTACCAAGCACACTTTTGTGCCCAATCACCACAGTAAAAACTATTTAAAGCAAATATCTCCAATAGATACTAAAATTAGTGGGAAAAGTATGAAACAGTTTCAAAGTATTACCTCGCAACATATTAAATAGAAAAAAGAGTAACTTGATATAGAGAAAACTGGCAGCTACCACTCCAACTGAGTGATCAAAATTAACATCATTAGTGGTGGGTAAAGTGACATCTGTGTCATAGTCATGGAGGGGAAAAAAGACCGAAGAACTCAGATTAAAGGAAACTAATACATGACAAAATGCAACATATGAGCTACACTGGATACTGTACCAGACATAGGACATTAGTAAGACAGCCTGTGAAATTTGAAGTCTGTAGATTAGATAAGTGTATGGTTAATGTTCTCATTTTGATCATTGTACTGTAGTTACATAAGATTTTTAACATTTAGAATATATGGGTGAAGAAGATATAGGGATGCTCATTATTTTTTCCAAGCTGTTTTGTAAGTAAAATTATTTCAAATGGAAAAGACATAACGTCTGAGTAAATTAAAAAAACATTAAATCAGCCCTAGCCGGTCTTGGCTCAGTGGATAGAGCATCAGTCTGTGGACTAAAGGGTCTCAGGTTCAATTCTGGTCAAGGGCACATATTCAAGTTGCGGGCTCCATCCTCAGTAGGGGGTGTGCAGGGGTCTCTCTCATTATTGATATTTATCTCTCCCTCTCCCTCTCCCTTCCTCTCTGAAATAATGTGTGTGTGTGTTGTTGTTTTTTTAAGTAAATCATACAGGGGTACACAGAGCCAAAACTGGACAAATGGTAGAAATGACACGTTTGGAAAACAGTATATTCCTGCAGTGCTCACTGGAAACCTCTAGCCATAGTATAGATGACCATCTCTGCAATGTGGTGGGTGAAATTAAACTTGTGGTGTCTAATTCAGTGTCCATCACTGAGTCTCTAATCTACATACATACTAATACATGTTGGGATCTAATAAAAAAGTATTTTCTGTAAATAAATAAATGAATAAGTGGTTGTTTATAAAGAGCCAGGAAGGGTACAAAGGATCCTGCAGGCAGCTTCATGAATCAGGAATTAGACTAGTGGTTCCCAACATGGAGCACATGCCCCTTGGATTAGGGGAACAATTCAAGAATGAGTTATTAACTGAATTTTTTACATTTCTTATGGTTCGAGGGGTATCATCCCATATAAGGCTAACATGCAAATTGACCCAAACAGTGGAACGGCCAGTTGCTATGACACGCACTGACCACCAGGGGGGGCAGATGCTCAACACAGAAGCTGCCCCCTGGGGGTCAGTGTGCTCCCATAGGGGGAGCTGTCAGAAGCCAGGCTCACAGCTGGCAAGCACAGCGGCAGTGCTAAGAATGTCTGACTGCTGGCTTAGGCCCACTCCCAGTGGACATCCCCCAAGGGCTCCAGGACTGTGAGAGGGCGAAGGCTGGGCTGAAGGACCACGCCCCTCTCTAACCCTGGAGTGCACAAATTTTGTGCACTGGGCCTCTAGTATAAATATATATTGTGATATATTTGTGCATTTTAGTTCTCTATTGTATGTTTTGAAGCTATTTGCTATTTTTTCATATCATGTCACATTATTTTTTTAAACAATTTCTTAGTGATTTCCTCAGAACTACAACTGTCCTTTCGTTCTTTTTCTCTTTCATGGATGCCATGTTCTTTGGAAGCTTATTTAGACCAAGTTAATGGCCTTTAGGCTTTTTATATGTCACAGGGGGAGGGGAGGCATTAGGATTTTAGAGATGCTTAGGTGGGGCATGGCCAAAAAAGGTTAGGAACCACTGTATTAGACATCGATCAGAAAAGTGACTTGGATAAAAAGTGCAAGTTTGAAACATTTTCCTCTCAAACTCTGCTTAGAAAAAAACACACACAAAAGTTTCATTATTGCTTCTTGACTGCTTAGTAAGACAAAGAAGAGGTGTGAATTCAAAGTGTACTTTTTACCAGCAAAAAGGAATGCTTGTGATTATAATATGCTTCTTGCAATTTAGTAACCATTAAAATGACATCTATTGCACAACCTAAATTGTGTGTGTGTGTGTGTGTGTGTGTGCTTATTTTTAAAATGGGCACAATACAGCACATAGGAGGCCCTAAGAAAACAGTAGCCATTAAGACTCTGGAAGGTTACCTCCTCCAGAAAACCGTCCTTACAAGTAGCCCTTTCCACATTCTTAAATTTTTTGCCTATATTAATAGAATGTGGGTCCCTTGGGATCAGAAAACCAGTGAGATGGAGTGAGTAGTACAAGGTCAAATAAGACAGCCAGATCATACAGAACTTCAGCTCAAGTGACTGAATTTTATTCTGGATGCAATGGGAAGCCATTGAAAGATTCTAAGCAAAAAAGTAACACGTTGTGACTTACAATTTTGAGGTCAATTTGGCTTCTGCATAAAGAATTGTTTTGCTTTGTTTGGCTAGGGGTGAGATGGTGGGGTGGAGGAAAAAGGTAAGAGTGGAAGCAAAGACAACCAGTGAGCAGATTACTGCAATAATCCAAATTAGAGATAAGCAGGGGTCCTCAAACTTTTTAAAGTGGGGGCCAGATCACGGTCCCTCAGAGAGCTGGAGGGCCGGACTATATGAACTACTAATTCCTACTGTAACACCTCGGCTGCGCTCACTGCCCAAAAAAACCTGGCAGGCCGGATCAGACTCCTCTGCGGGCTGCATGTGGCCTGAGGGCCATAGTTTGAAGACGCCTGGATAAATGTGTACTGAAAGGTGGAGAGATGGGTGAAACTAAGAAGTCTGTTAAATCCAGTGTTTTGGAGTATAATAAAACATATACATATTTAGGACTATTAAAATTAAACTTACTTTAGATACTTGGCATATTCTGGTTCTTTCCAGTAAAGCAAGTACTTAAGATAATTAACAAAGGCTTTGTCTTTGAAGTAACCTCTTTGGGCAAGAACTGAAAGGCATAAAAAAAAAAAAAATGCATCTGTAGAGCAAACCAATCCTTGAACCGATTTGTGACTTCTAACAAAGAATTTACATACATAACATCTCCCCCACCAACACACATTGAATTCATAAACAAGTCCCAGTTTGCTCAATTATATATGTATATGCACCAGTATTAAGTGTAGCAATAATCCCGTTCCATTGAGAATGTATAAAAGCAGACACTAATATGAATTGCAACTCATCTGCCAGAAATCATTAATTCAATGAGGTGCTCAACAACTTACAATTAAGATAATTAGGGTTAGCTAAACACTGCACAAATTCCAACTCCAACTGAAACCGAAGTCGATTTCCAGCATCATCTAGGAGAGAAGATAGCGAAAATCACCCAAAGGAAAGGTCACTTTATATAACAAAGTTTTCTTGTAGAAAGAAAACAGCGCAGTGAAGAAACTCGACTAAATGCTGATACACATTTCTTCATGAAGGGCAGGTGATGATGGCTTTTCTGAACTGGGTGTGAGAGGAGATAAACCTTCACAAGGATTAAGAAAACCAAAGCCCTGACTAAAATGATTATTCCTCTAAAGTTAAAAGTCATCAAAGAAAACAGGAACACACAGGAGGCAGGACATTTATCACTTACAAGCCCCTATGGAGAGATTTTAACAGTGATCACTGGGGTACGTGGTAATAATAACTGTGCCTTCCCCTATATCAGTGTTTCCCAAACTTCTCATGATGAGAATCACCTGGTGGAGTTGTTAAAATACAGATTCCTGAATCCCAACTAAGAAGTGCTAAACTAGTTGCTCCCTGCTTAGCACTTCTTAGTTGGGCAGAGCACTAAGTATACAATTTTACCTATATGTTCCCAAAAATTCTATTTTAGCACTTCTCAGTTGGGATTCAGGAATCTGTATTTTAACAACTCCACCAGGTGATTCTCATCATGAGAGAAGTTTGGGAAACACTGCCCTATATGAATACTGCCTTAAAATGTTAATGTGATTATATTTAGCAAAGCTAAGCGAATGCTAAGTCAATCAGAAAAGAAAGTTTAGAGTTCAAACTGGGAAAAAAAAAAAAAGAGAGAGAGAGAGACGGAATGTGTGCAAGATCAGGGGGTGCGTGGCAGAAAAACACACGAGTGTGTCGACGATATTTCAAACTTTAACAAGTTCACTGGAGACGCAGAAAACAAATCGAACTCCCCTCGGGTAGTCTCGCCCAAGCCAGGAAGCCCACGGGGTCGGTGTTTGACCAGCAAGAGAGGGAGGTCTGCGAACAAATCACCTCCGAAAAAGCCAAGCTACCTTAGCTTTTCCAGCCGCGCCGAGGGCCCTCGCGCCCCCGGGTCCGAACAGTCACCCCGCAAGGAGCCCCGGGGAGCCGGAGGAGGTAGGTGTCCAGGCCCGCGACCCGTCTGTCCGCGAAGACTAGCGGGTCCCAGAGCTACTGACCTGTCTCCATAGCGACAGCCGCGGCCATCACCCGCAAAATAGCTCAACCGCCTCCAGTCCCACAAGGCAACTGCCGGGAGCGGAGGAGGAGGTCCCGGAAGCCGCGGCTCCGCCTTCCTGTCGCGGGGCAGTGTGGGATGTGGGGGCGGACGCAGCCAGGCGTGGGAGCGGGAGGCTCCGCCCATCCCGGGCCGGTCCGGGCTCGCCCCGGGCTCAGCCGCTTACGCGCCTGCGCGAGCCCCAGGCAATGGAGGGCGCGGGGCAGGGCCCAGTATTTGCAAGGGAGAGAGGAAAGCCCGGCAGAACCCGGGGCCTGCATGTCATGGTGTGGGGGCGCCTTCGTCCACCCTTGTGTCTGCGGTGATGTAACACGCCATTGTGACATCCTCCCTTCCCTTGTGATGTAACCCAGAGGCGAGACTACCAGGGACGTGCTCGTCTGTGGGGCCTCCCGAGGTCTCTCTGTCTCCCACCCCCTTGAACCCTTAGAATGGCCTCACCCCTTCGGGGAAAGGCCGCTTCGCCCCTGGTGGAAACCACCCGCTACAAGGAGACGTCGACGGTCCGCGTGGAGACCTCGTCCCACCGCGTGGAGACCTCCTCCCGGCGGGTACACACGTCCTCCCGGCAGGTGGAGACCTCCCAGTGCCGCAGCGAGGGGCCCTCCCAGTTCCCCTCTGGGAAGCGGCTCCCTCGCATCCTCCAGGCGTCCTCCCAGCACGTGGAAACCTCCTCGCAGCGCACAGAGACGTCCTCCCGCCACGTGAGGGCCTCGTCCCTGCGCGTGGAGACATCTGTGCACCGCGTGGAGAGCCCTCCCCGGAGGGACAAGGCGGCAACCAGCCAGAATGTAAAAATGTCCCGATGAGGTACTTCCCAGAAGCCACGAAAGGGCCATGGCCCTCAGCCAGGACAACATTGCCTCCAGTTTGCAGCCACCAAGCTGCCGGGTGGACCAATCATAGAAACCGCCTATAAATCAACACAAGAAACAGCCCGTCTACAGTTTCCCGACTCAGCCAGCATTTGTTGACCATGCTGCACCTTGGACCATCATGCCTCTGACGCAGGCAACTGTTTTAACTAGAAGCCAGCACAAGTTTCCAGGCCATTCTACTGTGTCAATTGAATTGATGGACACCGAGGCTGTTTGAACCTCTGAACCAGGTGAGTTTGAGATGCACAGTCCCTTTCCTGGCCTAGGGACAGGGAGCAACCAGAAATGATGACAGTAGAATGATTATGTACCTCCTCAAAACCTGCGGGGCATGGAACAGACTTTCACTCACTCAATAATTGGCTTTGTTTGTTTCAAAATAAGCAATTATCTTTTTTTTTTTTGTACATAGTAACCCCAGCTATACTTTTAAACATAGGTTTAGTATAGTTAGAAATAAAGGTCACCAATCAAGAATAACCTTTGAGCCCTAGTTGGTTTGGCTCAGTGGATAAAGCATTGGCCTGTGGGCTGAAGGGTCCCAGGTTTGATTCCAGTCAAGGGCCCCTTCCCTGGGTTGCAGGCTCAATCCCCAAAAGAGGCGTGCAGGAGGCAGCCGATCAATGATTCTCATTGATGTTTCTATCTCTCCCTCTCCCTTCCTTTCTGAAATCAATTAAAATGGAATTAGCAAAGCAAGGTATTTTATTTTATTTTATTTTATTTAAAGAAAAGAATAATCTTAGAGCCTTGGCTGGTGTGGCTCAATGGGTTGAGCATCAAAGGGTCGCTGGTTCGATTCCCAGTCAGGGCACATGCCCAGGTTACCGGTTCGTTCCTCCATTGGGATGTGTGCAGAGGATAATCTTAGAAGGGAAGCCTGATCTGAGATATGAGAAGATGGAGGGGAGGAATTTTGATTACCTACTCTGTCCTGGATGGTGTTCTAGCACTTGAGCTATAGCAGAGAACCAGGTAGACAGGGTCTGCCTCTCCAGGAGAACAAGACAACTTCCTATTGTGATTAGCGCTATGGGGGAAATAAACCAGCAGTGTGGAAGCGAATGGAGGTCCGTGGGTCCTTTAGATAGGGTGGTCAGGGATGGCCTTGCTGACTAAGCACCATTGGAGCTGGGATTTGTGTGCATTAACAGTGAGCCATGCAAAGATCTGGAAAGAGTGTATTCTAGGCAGAGGGAACAGCAAGTGCAAAGAGTGGATGGGTGCAAGCTTGGAATGTTTAAGGAACAGAGAGACCCGTGTGGCTGGAGTTGGATGAGGGAGAGTCGTGGTGTGGAAGAGAGGATGTTAAAGAAGTAGGCAGGAGCCAGTTCATAGAGGTCTTGGAAGCCAGGCAAGGAGGCGCGTTACTGTAAGATCAATGGAGAGACATTGGAAGGTTCTCAGCCCGGGAGTGACATGATGCAATTTACATTTTTAAAATATCCTGCCTTCTGTGTGTAGGATGCAGGGCCATCGTTCTCAGCTGGGGGTGGTTCTGCCCCCTCACAATGTCTAAAGACATTTTTGTTTGTCACAGTTTGGGCGGGGGCGGGGGGAGTTTTGTTACTGGCATATGGTGGTTGGAGGCAAGGGATGCTGCTAAACATCCTCCAGTTCCTGAGACAGCCCCTCCCCACCATATACACCAAACAAGAGTTATTTAGCTCAATATATAAGTAGTGTGATATGGAGAAAACCTGATATAGGGGACAAGAGAGAAAATAAGAACTAGTTAGGAAGCTAATGCCGTGGTCTAGAAAGAAATGACAGTGGCTCATTCTAGGGTGGCAGGAGTGGAGCTAGAGAAAAGAGGCAGATCTAGGGTGGGTTCGGAGGCAGAGCTGACATGACTGAAGGATATGGAGGCGAGGGAAAGAGGAATAGAAGACTCAAGGATGACTTCCGTTTGGGCTTGAGCAGTTTGTTGTATGGGTGGTATGGCCATTCATGAGAAATAGCAGAGAAGGATAATCAGGTTTAAGAGGGGAAATCAGCTCAGTTTTGGCCATGCTGAGTTTGAGATTCCTATATAAGACCCAAATGGAGACATTGAGTGGCAGTTGAATGCACGAATCTGGCTACCATGAAGGAGGTGAGGATTGGAAATATAAAATGTGGGCCAGGGCTGGTGTGGCTCAGTGGTTGGAGTATTGGCCGGAGCACTGGGGAATCACGGGTTCAAGTCTTCCCTGGTCAAAGGCAGGTGAGGATGAACAACAACAAAGAAATGTAAAATGTGAGGTCATGGGTACATAAATGGTATTTAAAGCCATACGACTAAGCAGCTATCATCTGCCAGCCTGTCTCACTCATTTTATGCTGCACGAGTGAATCTGAGATCTTGTTCTTCATGGAAAATGGAACACCTCTTTCCCCCCCCCCGTTCCCCCCCCTCCCCCCCCCCCCCCCCCCCCCGCTCTCATCCCCACAGGGCCTTGCTTGACATACCTAACTTTTCCTTGCCTCTTGTCCTTTGGCAGCCACCAATAAGTGAGAAAATTTGCACTAAAATGTTAGCTAAATGCTTCAGGAAACTTGGCTTGCACTGGTCTTAAAATCAAGTTTAAAAGTTCAAGTTTTGTGTGTGTGTGGTGAGGAGGGGGGCGGGTTGGTGGGGAGGGGGGGTACATGAACAGTAATGTGTAGTCCTAGCCCCAGGTTCTTATGGGATAGCTGAAGAAAAACGAAACTGATCGATGACGGTGGTTCTAAACTGGGGACAATTTTTAAAAAATATATATTTTATTGACTTTTTACAGAGAGGAAGGGAGAGGGAGAGCTAGAAACGTCAATGAGAGAGAAACATCACTCAGCTGCCTCTTGCACACCCCCTACTGGGGATATGCCCGCAACCAATGTACATGCCCTTGACCGGAATCGAACCCGGGACCTTTCAGTCCGCAGACTGACGCTCTACCACTGAGCCAAACCAGTTTCGGCTAAACTGGGGACAATTTTGCCCCAGAGTGGACACTTAGCAATGTCTGGAGATGTTTATGTCACAACTGTGGGGGTTGCATGCTGCTGGCATCTACTGGGTTAAGTTTTGGCTTGAGCGGTTTGGTATATGTTGCTTGCTACCGAACACCCCCTACAATGCACAGCCCCTGACAACAAAGAATCACTGGGTCCACAATCTCTATAGTACTGAGGTTGAAAAATCGTGAAGATTCTAAAGCATGATCCATGAGGAAGCACCCCACTAACCATAGGATTATGCTCTGGGAGAGGTTTAGAGGTGGTGACCTATGTCACATCTCAGGCAGGAACTCTCGGAGGAGAGAGCTATGTCGCTCTTTGAGGAGACCATCCATCTCTGCTTTCAATAATTTACGTGATATTTACCGCGGGAGGAAAGCTGGTCCCATCTAACAGGATGAAAGTGGCCTTGATTCTATGGGACCTCTTTGTGAGGTGGAAGACTAGGTGGTTCCAGGCACTGTGCTAAGTCATTACACACGTTACTTCCTTTAACTACAGGGGAGGGCACCGGGCGGCACAAGAGGAGTGCTACAAACCCGGAGGCTCCCCTCAGGCTCCTGCCTCATAAAACTTCTGCTGTAAACTAATAATTGGACTTGGGAATTTTAGTCTCTGCTGAGCTTACTGGTTCTTGTAAATATGACAGACCATGTACATTATATACAAACACTCTCTTAATCAGTGTTGTTTTTTTGTTTTTTTGTTTGTTTTTGTTTGTTTTTGTGTGTGTTAAAGGAATACATAGTTGCTTTTCTTATCAATGTTCTTTATTAATGTATATTACAAAAGTGCTATGTGCTTAAGGTAACAGATGAAATAATTCAAAGATGGGTAAATAAAATTTAATAATTTGTCATCATCCCTTTCCATTTTCATCCTTTGGAAAAAATGTCAGCAACCTGGAGTATATCCTCCTAGACTTCACTGTCATTGATTGCTTTGATCCTCCTCCTTAGTAACACCTATAAGACTGGTTGGAAGGTTTCTGTGAAAAAGCCAAACAATGGGTTTCTAGATGATTGATTCTCCTGGAAGGATACAGAATTATGGTACCTTCTTTCTTTTTGTTATCCTTGTTACCTAAGTTTCTTCCTCCAAATTTCATTTATCCATGTTTCAAAGCAAGAAAGTGTCAAAAAGACAAGAGCCATGAAGAAAAGGATGTTGACAAGATATTTGCCATGCATACTGGTTTATACATCAGATTCCACAGCTTCAAAATGATCCTGTATATTAAAGAAGCTTATATCTGCCACAGTTTTATTGTACCTACTGCATATAATAAGTGTGGCCCACAGTGTCCTCTCTCGGAAGTTTCAAAGGAGCCCAAGTGCTGTGTAGCTGTGACATGGTATATAATGCTGAGCACTTACGTGCAACAAAGAGCAAAGAGCAATACTGTCCCCTCTATTGCCAGCCGGGAAAGCAGCTAGTGGCTCCATCTACTAATCCCTTGGATTTGTTGAGCTAGGAAATAGCTGTCACTTGCCTTCGGTGGTTGCCAATCAGGTCAGTTTGAAAAATTAAGCAAGTACAGTCAGCACCTGTCATTCTCCCCATAATCCATCCACTTACATATAAATGGAGGGAAGCTTACAAAATTCACATATCTATTTGTTGACTGTTGTTAATAGAATACTTTTTCTCCAGATCACACAAGTCAGGGGAAGAATTAAGAGCCTGACCAGCAAGGTATTTGGCTCAAGTTCTCATTTAGATCTTGTAGGATCCAGGTCCTCCATCCTTCCTATTGCTCCCATCCCAGTATGGCTAGTACCAGTGCCTACACCCTGGATAGTTGACTTAACCTCTATGGTTCCACATGCTTACATGGGTTCAACATGCTATTAGGCTGGAGGAAAATTCACTGTTTAAACTTCTTTTTTTTTTTTCAAAACAGTTGACCTTCATGGTACAGATGGAAAAACTGAAGTCCAGAGAAGCCAAAATAACTTGCAACCGTTAATTATTTACTGCCTCCCCAGATGACTTCTTTTGATAACCAAATAAAGGTAGGTATAGTGTCCTTACGTTTAACTTACAGTGAGCATAATAGTAAAAATAGAAAAAAGAAATAGAGACTCCATTTATACAGAATCCTGCAAAGCTCCAATCCTGTGAGGCTCCAAAAACATCTCATTAGTATTTGGAAGCTCTGTTTTCAGGTGCATAAACATTTAGCATATCATTTCTGGTCCTGAGGTCAGCAGTGGCTGGTTTTGTTGGCGTTTCTCGACTTGGAGCTGAAGTACAACTGAGGCCTAGATGTTATCTCTCGGGAGGGAAGGTCGGGGTCCAAACCTCATGACCAGCTATATGCTGGGGAGGAAAGGTCACCCTGGGGGCGAGGTCCCACCCTACAATTGGTTGTCTTACTCGGCATCTGGGGCTTTCCACCCTCCTGACCTTATTACAATCTCATGGCAAAAGAAAAGGCTTCTACTTGGTCACTTCAACAAGTATCTATTGGCAAAGACATTGTATAGGAAAAGAGAATGGTTAGATCAGAAAGAAGTTCTGGTTAAGAATCATTAGATTTACTGAAAGACAGATAAAGGCCATTGGCTCCTTCCCAAATCTGAGCACATAGGTAACTGATTTCTCAGAGGTCTTATGACCATTACAGTTCACCAGAAAGTTGCTTAAGCATTTTATCAGAAATATATTTGACTAGTGACCCAGTGCATGGATTCATGCACATGGAAAGGAAATGAATTAGAAATATTTTAATATTGCTATTCGCCCTTTCTCTATAATAGAAGTGTCAGAGATTAAAGAACATTAGTAAAATGTATATGGAAATAATATATAAATTGATTACTCAATATAAATAACAACATGATATAACAACAACAAAGACATATAAAAACAACATTGATAAAAACAATGACTGGTAAGTTGATTAAACGTATTCTCATATCTCCCTGTACACCACATTAAGAGTAAAAACACTTTCAGAGTGCTTGATTAATTTCTCTTGTGATGAAGTATTTACAACCTTAACTTTAACATCACAGGCTCTTCAAACTCCAGAGAAAGCAACATATAACTGACCATGTCTGAAAACGGGTTCAGGTAGGAATATTCCTACTCTGTCTAGAGTTTATCCTTGTGATTTATTTATTTTTTTAAATATATTTTGATTTTTTTTTTATAGAGAGGAAGAGAGAGGGATAGACAGAAACATCGATGAGAGAGAACCATGGATCAGCTGCCTCCTGCACACCCCTTACTGGGGATGTGCCTGCAACCAAGGTACATGCCCTTGACCAGAATTGAACCAGGGACCTTTCAGTCCACAGGCTGACGCTCTATCCACTGAGCCAAACCGGTTTCGGCTGTCTTTGTGATTTATTAATAGTCATCGCAAATGCTGGCATCAGAGGAAACTGTCTTCTAATTAATTTAAGTGGGAGGCCAGTGTCATACGGCGACAAATGTCTCGCATGTGCGAGTCAACATTTATTTTTAAATTGCCAGTGCGTGTCATATATACCGGCCGGTTGATCACTTAGCCTTTTATATATATAGACAGATTCCCAAGAAGTGGGTTTGTGGATTACATTCCCAAAACATCCCTGACCCAGCCCAAGTGTAGGACAATATTTTATTTTACGTATAAGGGTGTTTGGTGAACACGTTTCAGTGCCTGTCTACTCTGACTTGCTTTATTCTTTACTCTTTCCTGTGCACCATTGTCAAAGAGGTTTGAAATGGCAATGCTCTTCCTTAGAGCTGAGCTCCAGTCCAGGCCTGGAGGATATGAGAACCTGCCCTTATCTGCAGAAATCTCTGTCTTTGCAGATCCCTAAGGGACCTTCTTCTGAGTGTCGTTACTCACCTGTTGGGGAGCACACAAGACTTGGTCAGGAAGTTTGTAAGGAGGACATGCTGATAAACGGGAAGTGTGTGGAAGGCCGCCTGCCCTGTTTGTCGGAATTCCGACTTAGGGGAGGGTCAAAGGCGGCACCCCTAATTATTCCTTGACTTTTCCAAACAAGTCTGCACATGTTCAGACCTCCGGATGTTTACTGGAATCCTTATGCTTAATCCCTGGATGCCCTTGCCTAGAGGACAAGGCAAACACGTGTGTCCTCCCAACATTACTCACCCTACTGATTGTATCTAAAGAGAAAAATTCCAATAAAGGCCTAAGGAGGCAGGCAGTCAGGGTTGCCTGGCTCCTTCAGTGGGGCTGCCCCTTAGCCCTCTCCCCCACAGTGAAACTGTGTTGGAGGAATCTGGTCGTCCGTCCCTCAGGGGCTGCTGGCCAGCCCCGGCACTCACCTTCAGAGGGCTAATCAGAGCTTCGTCCTTTGTAGAACAGGCCTGCTTTTTGACTGATAATGAGAATTCATTTGCAAAAGGGCCCAGACGCTAAAATAAAACCTTTCAAAATCATCCATCTATTCTAATATCTGCTGTTTTACTTAATGAGAAAGCTGAGGCCCAGAGTGAGAGCACCTTGTCTGTCACTGCGTATTTATTCAGTGTGGATTGGGGGGAAATGCTGCCCTCAAACTTGTAATTTCACCCATATTTTACTTACGCTCTAATGGGTGTTTAACAACGTTTTGGTGCATGGGTTTAAAGAAAACATAAGCAGTTAGCCTTCAGTGTGGCCGGTGGTTTGACGGGGACATGGTGCACACTGACCGGAGTCGGGGAACTAGGGTACTAACTCAGCAATGTCTCGTGAACTTCAGCAGGAAATCTGGGGCCATGACACCAATTCTGTGGACTGCAATCAGCATTTTTTTTATTTTTTTATTCTTGAAACAAAATAGAAAAATGTAGAATCTATCAGAGTGCTCACACATATTAAAGGTAAGAACTGCTTTGTGAAAACTTTGTGTATAGTTACCGTGTGAAATATATTCATATTGGGAGACACTGTCAAAACAGCTGGAGAAAGTGCACGTCTGAGGTCTCCTCCCACTACGGTGCCCCGAGTCATGGCCGTCTTCATGTTGGTGCCATGACACCCAGTGGACAGCAGAGGTCAGACCATCCTTGCCCAGCAGTGAAGGCTGCTTCTTGGATGACCAGAAACCTAGGCCAACTGCCAAGTAGGACAGAGGCCCGAGGGGGCAGTTGTTGACAGAAGATCCAGCTCATTTGACCGCAGGAATGACAGCTTCTGAGGGGCACTCTCCAGTTGGCTTTGCTGTGGCCACTTTGCATTCTCCGTCCCCAGACTAAGTTCTGGTCTGACTTTTAAACAGCCTGGGGCCTGGGGATGCTTCACAGGCCTTGTTTTTCTCAGACCAGCATCCTCTGATTGAGGAGCAGGCCCTAGCCATGTTCATCTGGGGAAATCAGAGCATCTTCACCTGACATGCCCACGTTGATTTAGGCCAGTGGTTGGCAAACTGCGGCTCTTTGGCCCCTTCAGTGTGCCTCTTCCACAAAATACCACGTGTGGGCACACAAGGACAGTGCGATTGAAACTTTGTGACCCATGCGCAGAAGTCAGTTTTTGGCTCTCAAAAGAAATTTTAGTAGTCGTTGTCCTGTTGATATTTGGCTCTGTTGACTAATGAGTTTGCCGACACTGATTTAGGAGGTCTGCTCTACAAAGGATAAAGCTCTGATCAGCTTCCTGAAACCAACAGATGTGAAGGTGAGTGCCAGGGCCAGCCAGCAGCCCCGGAAGACGGATGAACAGGTTCCTTCGGCAGTTTTTTGAGCTTTATATTCCCTTCCAAACGGAGCGTTGACACCTGAGAGCAGTAAACATGCATGGAGCACTGCCTTTCCCCCAGACACTGTTGGAAGCACTGCATTCTAATCCAGGCATCCGCAGAACCTTGGGACAGAGAAGTTAAGTGTCTTACCCGACGTTACCAGTTAGGGAGGAGCAGAGCCAGGATTCAAACCCAGGCTGGCTCTTAACCACTAGCCTGCTGGTCGGAGAGGAGTGGAGAGCTGTTCCCCTCATCATGTATCCGTGCTCAAGGATAGTGAGGCTGCAACATATTCAGGAGAAACCCTGGACACCCCAGAAGAGCAGGGATGGTAAAGCCTGAGACAGGAAAACAAGGTGGGCCCGCTGCCCTCTGCTGTCTGAAGGAAGCCTCGAGAGCGGATGAGAATCAAAGGGTAAAAAGCTACAAGGAGGTGCATTTGGGCTCAACAGAAGGAAGATTTTTAAAAAACGTATTATGAGATCTATAGCCAAGCACAGAAAGCTCAGCCCCATTAAAGTCCCAACACTGTGCCGCGTCTGTGTCCGCTCTCCAAGGAAAGCTTTTGTAACAGTGGAGCCAGACCCATGATGGACTAGGCTGCCCGCCCGCCGGGCAGTAGTGAGCTCTGTCTCCCTGAGCAAGGACAGGTGGAGGCAGGGCAACCACCTGGGGAGGGATGCCTGTTGGGCACTAGGGCGCAGGCAGGCTGAGGTCTGAGCGGGGAAGGAGAAGAAAGAAGTGGGAAGTCCATGGGGCACCTCTCCCTCTCCTGCTCTCTTGCCTAAGTCAACGATCAAGTTCCATCTCCCCTATTCCCAGCCTGGGCTCCCTCTTCTCCATCTGACCCCACCTTACCCCTAAGCCATGGTTCATCTTCTTTCATTCTCCCCCAGACTTCCTCCAGGAGCTTTCTGCACTTGCTGCTGAAGCTTCCCCATCTGATCTCCTTTTCTACCCCTGCAGCCTCGCTGCACCACTGCTGTCCTTCCCAAGGTCTATTCCTACAGTGGCCAGTCTTAACTCCAGTGGCTCCTCTCAGTCCTGTCCTCGTCGACCCTTCTGTAGCATTTGAAACTGGGAGCCATCCTCTCCTTAAATGTTCTCCTCCGGTGGTTTCCATGAGTCTGCACTGTGGCCCAGTCCCCTGTCCCTCCACCCCACCCGCCCCTCACGCCTTCTTCACTGTGCTGGTCTTCATGCTAATGATTAAATAGGCCACGTTTATCCCTGCGTTTGCACTTTCCATGTGTACTGCCTAGAATGCTCTTCCCCAGATTTTCTTAATGTTGTTTGCCTCTTCACATCATTTAGGTGTTAAATCAGATATTGATTTTACTGATTAAATACCTCTTCCTCTTCCCCCACCTTCATCACTCTTATCCACTAACCCTGATTATATATTTCTCCAGTGTGAATTTGCTTTATTTGTCACTTGTCTGTTGTCTGTTTTCCCCATTGGGAGGGCACAGATCTTGACTTGTTTGTCATTGTATCTCCCAGAACAGGTAAGAGTACCTAGCACAGAGCAGGTGTGCAGTAAGTGTTTGTGATACGAGCAAACTGAGGAATGGATGAACATTCGCGGTCAGTTTCAGGACCCTCAGCAGTTGGGATCAGGCTGAGACCACCACTGTGCTCTCCTCAGAGGTCTGGGCAGGATGGGTGGTTGGCAGGCCCCCAGGGGAGAAGCTGGTGGACTCCTGCACTTGCCCCTCGCCCCTGATGTTCCTTCTTCCAGGTAACACCCTGCTGTTCTCGACGCCCCAGGGAGCCTTGCTGGGCTCTCCACCCCATCCTGAGCCCACTTCCTGGGTGTTCTCACCTCCACCTCTACAGCCTCTTCACAGTACCCACGTGATCGCTCCTAGACTTACCCTTCCTTGTTTTCTCCTCTCCCTGAGATTGAGAGCGCACCAAGGGCAGGGACCATGATGAAGCCTCTTCGTGTTCAGTCCTGGTCATGGACTGAATGGACAAGGTTAGGCTTGTCTGGACACAGGCCCAGCCACAGAATGCCCTCCACCCCTGTACGGCAGGGCCATGGTGTCTCTGCAGCACCATTAAGGGCATGTTTGGAGAGCCAGACAGGCTTTGAATAAGAATTGTTTGGTAACACATGCTCATCCATGCCCTATGTCTGTGGTCAGCAAACTGCGGCTCACGAGCCACATGCAGCTCTATGGCCTTGAGTGTGGCTCTTGCACAAAATACCACGGTCTGGGTGAGTCTATTTTGAAGAAGTGGCATTAGAAGAAGTTTAAGTTTAAAAATTTTGGCTCTCAAAAGAAATTTCAATTATTGTATGTTGATATTTTGCTCTGTTGACTAATGAGTTTGCTGACCACTGGCCTATGTGGTCTCTTCCCTTTCTTGTCAATCACCCTTGAGTTAGTGAGTTCTCAGTCACTGCAACTGCTGGGATGGACATTAGAAACAAGGGGAAGACAGAGAACTGGTGGTTCAAGTTCAGAATCCCAGCTGTGCCTCCTTGGGGGGAGGGAGGGACATGCCAGGTGGGGAGCCCCACGACTCCTTCCTTTGCCTTCAGCCTGGTCTAAAGTGCCTTCACCCCCAGGATGCCCCAGCTGGGAGCCCAGACTTAGCTGGCTTAAACAGAGTGCTGTGCTCCCAAACAGCAAGACATTCCAAAGCCTGAAAAATCACTTTATCCCTTTTCTTAAATGAAGACCCAACTCCACCATGTCTGTTCCAATTTGGCTCCTCACGGTGTGACATTGGAGTGACCCAGCGGACATCACCCAGACTCCCCAGGGCCCCAGCGTCAGCTGCCTAGGTGGGCAGGCTCGGCCGAGGCTGTCTCCCCACCAGCCTGAGGTCTGTGGGCTAGGCCTCTTGGTTAGCGAGCTTCAGACGGGGAGCGGCTGGGAGGCCCCCAGGGAAGACGGGAGTGTCTGTGTGGCCAGTGGGCATCAAGGACCACCGGCCACGAGCAAGGGCGGGGCTGCCGGGCATCCTGGCGGCTGTTTTGTGTCATTATTAATTTCATACAGATAGTTTCACTTTCTGCTTTTTGCACATATCATAAGGATCCTTCCATGCTGTGATTGAGTCTTCCTATTTTAAACAACAGAGTTCTCGGTGCCTATTGGACATAACGGAAAACACTGCACTCATCATCTCTGATGGACAAACCCATTTTTCTCTTGGATTATTTCCTCGCAGCGCATTCCAAGAAGTGGGATTACCACAGAATGAGAGAGGAGCATTTTAACAGCCCTGGAGCCGTATTGCCAATTTCTTCCCTAACAGGCCACGCTAATTGACAGGGCCACGGGCGGTGTGTGTAAGCTGGTTGTGCCACAGCCTGGCGGCTGTGCGGTATCATTTGGCTAATGGGTGCTAATTTAGCAGGCGTAAAGTGGCACCCCGGCTCCTCTAATTGAGATCCCCTGATTGCAGCCAGGATGAGGTGTTCAGGGCGTTGGTCTCACTCCTGGGATGGCCTCTCTGCCCGCACTGGGCCTCAGCCTGTCCCTCTCTCCACCTCTGCCCTTGCTGTGTGTCATCTTGCTCTCGCTGTAAGCCTGTCTGTCTGCCACAGTCTTTCAGCTTCTGATTGGGGACTTCCTCTGGTTTCTAACTGAGTAGGCACTTGGCTGGTCCATGGTGGTCCTGGACAAGCCCTGACAAGCTGCTGGCTAGACCCCTGGCCTAGTGGGCCTCCCTCCCCCACCGAACTCACATGGGCTCCTTTCTTCCTCCGGTGGCTCCTCAAGAACCCCTTCTCTCTCTCCAGGTGGCCTCCTCGGGGCTGATCTCCCAGAAATGGCGGGAGTGACCAGGCTGTCCCTCAGGGACCCCCTCCAATGAAGTGTTCCCAGCTCCATGGCCCTGCTTGTCCTGGCAGTGGGGGATGTGGGTCCCAAGGTCCAGATGTGGACAGCGAAGGGGCCCACAGCGGTGACCGCAGCTCGGCCTCCCCTCCTGCTCCGAGCCCTGGGCCCACGGTGGCAGAAAGAGCTCCCTTCTCGGGCGGAAACCCACTCGTCCCGGTGGATGCCTTGGATGCGGGGCCGCTAGCACTCCCAGGTGCGGCAGGGACAGAGCGGGCTGGCGCACTGCCCACTGCCAGTGGCGCTGAAGGTCCCTAGCACCTGGGAGGATTTCAGGAAGACTTCCAAAAGGCGGCTGGCCTCGCGGGAAGGCAATGAGATGCACGTGGGAGCCTGCGGCTGGCGAGTGGCTCCTGACTCCGGGCACCGGACCTGCTGCTCGGCCCTGAGGCCGGTGGTCTCCGCCCCCACCTCTCTAGACTCTGTGGACCTTGCACTGGGAGGCTGTTCACATCCAGAAACTCAGACACCGCGTTCCAGCGTCTCATTTCATTTAGACCGTTTTTAACACCCATCTCTCTCAAAAATGATTATAAAGTAGTGCATGCCTATTCTAAAATATTTGGAAATACAGAAAACAAGACAAAAATATATACCCCTGTAAGGTCGCCAAAGATAACCGCTGCTATATTTCCGCCTCAACTCTTTCCTGTGGTCGTGTATGTTTTTATTACCATAAAAACATATATAATTTGTATCTGTTTCATTCACTTTAAATAGAAGCATTTTCAACATAAAAAAAGTTCTTTATAAACACTTTCTAATGAGTGCATAAGAGTGTTTTGAGTGGACACATCGTGAATACTTACTGTTACCTAAATATTGGGCATTTTATATTTTCAGTTCTTTGAGAGCATAAAAACACACTGAAGTAAACATCTTTTAAATACACACCTTTGTCCACAGTTTGATTTTTTCCGTTAGGGATGATTCCTACTCCTAGGATATAAACATGTTTCGCATATGTGTTTCTATTTTGCTTCCCAGAGGCTTGCCCACCTTACAACACAACCTACTACACCAAAAATTAAAAAAAATAAAATAAAATAAAATAAATACTTTAGAGAAACATTTACCGATTTGAAAGGCAGTGAGACTATTGATTCCTTTTGCTGGTGAACTGTGACTTGGTGGGGGAAAGGGACATGCCTAGGGTCGCCCTAGGAGTGTGTGACCTCATCCCACCCTCATGACAACCTGTGGTCACAGTGGAGGAGCCAAAGCACCTCGACTCGGTCGCCTGCCCAGACCCCCACTCGGCTCCTAAGCGGAGGAGCCTGAACATGACCATATGGGCCACCCCAGGTCCCGTGTCCTCATAGCTGCTGTTCCCAAATAGGTGCTGAAAGGTGGTTTGGGGCCAAGAGACAAAGGGACTTGGATTTGGACGTACCCTGTAGGCAGAGGGGCGCCATGAAGCACAAGGCTGTGTTTTACAGAGATGTTTCTGGTGGACCGGCCGGGGGAGGCTGGAGACAGGGCGGCCAGCTGGGAGATAGGACATGTGAACAACAAAGAGACTGCCCAGACGCATGTGGGCTGTGGGCTGCGGGCCAGGGCCGGGCAGGAGCGTCAGGGGTCCGGGGAGGCCTCCCGCTGTGTCCTTTTCCCTTGGCAAGGGCCGTGTTTATCGGCTACACGTCAGGCAAAACCTGTGCCAGCCACCAAAGACTCCACCTCAGCTCCAGCAAATAAGAGAGAGGGCGGTATGGATTACGTTATATTTAAAACAAGCCCACACGACGCCTGTAATTTTTCATCCTGACTCCGTAATTATAGCTCGAGACCAGTTAGATCATAGTTATCCCCGCACCGACCTGCTGTTGGGACACAGGGAATTAGAGGCTTGGCCGCGCAGGAGTCTATTTCGGATGCTGAGCACTGGCAGGTAACGGGCCTTTCGCAAGGCCCATCCCAGCGGAGGTCCTCCCGGGCCGCCTGCGTCAAGGCCAAGTCAGCAGCGGCTCTCGGGGAGACCACCGGTGCTGGGAACAAGTCGGGTGCTGCCGCTTCGCCTGCGGAGTGCGAGTCTGGAGATGGAGGAAGTGCTATCCCTGGAGCAGGGCTGGCCTCCTGGGTCAGTCCCATCTCAGAGCCTCTGCCCCCTCCCCAACTGACCGGGGGCCCGGGGTCAGGTGAGCCAAGCCCTGGTTGTTGGGTACACTTGTCGCAGACAGGCTGGCATTGCCCAAATTCAGAAGAGAAAAAGACAAAGGAGCCAGGCTTACGTAGACACAGGACACTGTGACAACCGGGCCTGGGTCAATGCAGGCAACCCTCCCGCTGGGCTGCACCCCTCCCTGTCCGGGGACCCACAGAGAATGCCACCTCTCCTGCCCATAAAGATACCCCTGACAGAGCAAGGGTGGGCTTGGGTGCATACACCACCGTCCCTTCCTCCGCGGGCCCTCCCATGACCAGTCCTGCCTCCTGTCTCTTTATCAGCAAGCTGCAGGAGACCTTGTGCACACACCTCATTGACTCGCATCACTCCTGCCGAGCCTGTGTGATCACTGTTGCTGTGAGCAAAGGGAGCTCAGAGAGGTGAAGCAGGGGGCTCAGGGCCACCCAGCTGGAATGTGAAGGGGTAGGAGCTGGAGTCCCATTGCTCAAAGCACGCAGCTCATCCACAGACTACTCGCCTAAAAACCCAGGCCCACTCCTGGCTGCTGGTTAGTTCCCTCCCTCTGGGAAACTCACTAAGCAGGTGGACATAAGAAAGCCCAATCCAAGTACCTATTTCTTTTTTAAAAAAATATTTTTTTATTGATTTCAGAGAGAAAGGGAGAAGGAGAGAGATAGAAACATCGATGATGAGAGAGAATTATTGATTGCATGCCTGCCACTGGGGATCAAGCCTGCAACCCAAGCATGTGCCCTAATCAGGAATCAACCATGACTTCTTTTTTTTTTTTTTTTTAATATATTTTATTGATTTTGTACAGAGAGGAAGGGAGAGAGATAGAAAGCTAGAAACATCGATGAGAGAGAGTCATCGATCAGCTGCCTCCTGCACATCCCCTACCGGGGATATGCCCGCAACCAAGGTACATGCCCTTGACCGGAATCGAACCTGGGTCCATTCAGTCCCCAAGCCGACGCTCTATCCATTGAGCCAAACTGGTCTCGGCCAACCATGACTTCTTGATAATCGAACTATGACCTTTTGGTTCATGGGTTGATGCTCAACCACTGAGCAACACAGGCCGGGCCCAAGTACCTATTTCTTAGCACAACTCTCCCACTACACATAGCTCTCCTGGCCTCAGCCAAGCCCAGGACATGCCAGCCCCTGTTCTTATGTCCCCACAAAGAATGGATGGGTCCCTCCCGGTCTCTGATGCATCTTACACACACTTTTATTTCAACATTTAAGACATTGTTGTCACCACTGACATGACTGTCCTACTGGACTCCTCAGGGCAGGGCCCGTGTCCTCTCCCTCTCTTACAAGTTTGACACCCAGCACATAGTAGGGGCTTACTGTTTGTTACAAGAAAACAAAGAGAATCTGAAAAACCCATATTCATCCTTCAAAGCTCTGCTCAGACTAGGCCCTGGATTTTCTGATTGGCACAGACTGAGTTACTACCATGTTTCCCCAAAAATAAGACATCCTCCGAAAATAATACCTATTTACAGGTTTCCTTCTGAGTGAAATATAAGACATCCCCCCGAAAATAAGCCCCCCCCCCCCTTAGGCTAAACATGAGAGATTTGGTCCACTGATTCTGAAAGAAATGGAGTCACAAGAAATTCACCAGGAAATTCAGGAATTGGATTGTTATGATGATGTTCCAGAAGATGATGACATGACTGTCATTGAATAAATGAGTAAATTCTTGATACTGTAGGATTCACAGTTTGTCTGGTTTGTGTTGACAACTACCGTACTACCGTACCGTATACAGGTAATAAATTTCCTTTATTTTCATTTAACAATAAATGTGTACCGTATTCTTCATGGAAAAATAAGACATCCCCTGAAAATAAGACCTAGCGCATCTTTGGGAGCAAAAATTAATATAAGACACTGTCTTATTTTCGGGGAGTCAGGGTAGTAACCTGTCCTCCTGTACTCTCTGGAGGAGGGCTGCCTCACCCTCGGGGCAGGGACAGGACCTGCTTCTTCCCAGCAACCCGTTCAGCACAGACCAGGCCCCCAGCAGCGGTCAGTAAAGGCAGAACCGGATTGCCCTTTGCATCTGTGACCAGGAGGGCACCGTGACCTGACTGGTCAGCCGCCCGTGTCACCAGGCTGAACCCACCATGGACTGGCACCTGGGTGTTTGCTGAGGAAGGGAATAAATAAATCTCCCCTCCCTTTTTTATTTTTATTTATTCCAACTTTAACAGGAAGCATACCCAACAGGTATTCTATTTATATAAAAATCAGCTCCGTTTTTAGGTATGTGCCCTCCTGCCTCACCTCCCCAAGGTGGGCCCAGCCCCCCTCCCATGGGTCCCTCCACATCCCACCCAGTAATCATGGCCCTACCTGCCCCCATCCCTCCGCTGGGTTTCCCTCAATTGCAGGGTGTGAGCTTCCAGGCGCCCCAGAGGCCTGCCTCATGCCTGACCCCAGACTCCCTCCCTCTCGGACCTGCCCTCCGCGTCCCAGACTTCCCAAAGAGCAGGCAGAGCCAGGCCCTGGGCCCAGGTGGGGAGGGCAGGACAGGAGTCCATTTGCACTGGGCCCCCCACACCCCGAAACTGAGTCAGAGCAGGCAGATTGCCGCTGGGTGCCCAAGGAGCCAGGCCCTGGTCCTCCCAGAGCTCTGGCAAACCAGCAGGACCCCACTCCCCAGTTCCACAAAAGTTGGGGTCCACTTGGCGCAGGCTTTGGAGTCAGGCTCCCGGTCCTGCTCCAGGCTTCACCAAGGCTGCCAGCGCTCAGACAAGTCGCCTCCCTCCCTAACCTCTCCCAGGCTCTCTCTGGGCTGAACAGACACACATCCCCCCCGCTGAGCTGTCTGTGAGAGCAGCACCTGAGGCTGGGAGGCCTCTGGCTGAGGCTGCCTGGGAAAGCCCACCGGGTAAGGGGTTCACATTGCAGAGCAGCAGCTGGGTGTGTCCCGTGTGCTTATGGAGTAGCAGCCCCCAGGCACCCCAGCCTTGGCCATGAGCCCCTCTCCAATCTCACCCTCACCCGCACCCACTCCCTCAGCTCCTGCTCTCTGGCAAGGTTCCCGCTGCCCATGGAGGCCCGTGGGCCAGGGGTGCCAGGGGACCCTCCACAACCAGCAGCTCCTTGGCCTGAAACCAGGGTCTGGGCAGAGAGCAGAGCAGGCCCTGGGCGGGGGTTCACCCTCAGCTCAGCGCTCAGGCAGGCACCCCGCTCCCCACAGCTGGTGCAGGGTGCCAGGCCCGCACTGCAGGGGCAGTAAACTGAGAAGCCCACAGCTATAAATGTGAAGTGGCCAACCACAGGACACTGCCATGGCCCCATGGGGCCTGCCGCCAGCCACTCTGGGAGGCGCAGGGCCCTGGCCAGACCTGCCTGCTGGGTCTCCTGACTCTGGGCTCCGAGCAGGGCCAATGGGGTCCCAGTGATCCCAGGCAGAGTGGAAGGCGGACCTGACACAGCACTTTGTACACCAGCAGTCACACCTCTGGTCTTGCTTCCCAAGCACATCTTGTTTTCTGTTGACTTACACTGGAGGAGGGAGCCGGGCGCTTCCACAGGTCTTCCTCCTGCCGTGGGCGGCTCTAGCTCACAGTTTCAGGCCCTTCTGAGGCTACCTCGGGTCAGGGGACCTGGGAGGACTGCAGCTAGCGTGGTCCTGGCTGGCACCCATGGCTGATGAAATAAGGACAGCCTGCTTCAAAAAGTGCCCAGGGTATGCCCAGCCCAGAGTTTTCAGA